AATTGCTCTCAGCGTGCTGGCTGTACTACTCCTGGTGACTGGCTGATTATGGGGTATCAAAATACTGGATTCCTGCCCCCACTCTTGTGTCTAAGCAGAAACACACTTTGGATAAGTGAAATACAACCGTCCAAGTCAGATATACAGAAACACCTGTCATCTATTTGGCACAGTTTGCTACCAATTCTTTTACCCCCATGATTTGCTCATATTTCTGGAGCTGTGTCCAAACTAGAGATGGAGTTTTGCCTTACCTAAGCCAATAGTTTGACCTAGTTGATGTTTGCTTGCTCTGTTCCTAATTAAAATAGTTAGGAACTGGCTGGGGAATACTGGGAATTGCAGGACTTTTTTCCAGCTAACTGGGCATAGGACTGCACCCTGGGGCACAACCCTGCTTACTCCCCACCCTCCAGCCCTGGCTTGCTGTCTCAGCACCCACCTACTGCTGTTCTCCCCATGTTCTGCATCACAAACTCAGCTCACATTTCCAGGGTTGGTTCTCTTGTATTTCATCTCCTTTCTCCGCCGCAAAAAAGGAGAATTGTGCTTAAGAAGAAAATTGGCTGAACTCAAGGGGGATTTATGTGCCCACTTCAGAGTCTCTCTTAGGCTGGAAAAGGAAAACAGTTCTCAAGGGAATCGCTGGCAGCAGTTGAGAAGAGGCATCCCATGCTGCATAGCTATTCTATTGTAGTCTTTGCCTGAACAGATTTTGAAGGTGCGTTCCCCCCCCTACACGCACACACATTTCAGAGGCAAAAGTGGTACGGGTGTGTACATACCACAAATGCCAATCTCTGAAAAAGAGCTATCTTCACCGCTCTAAAACATGCTATTGTCTTCTCTCAGCCTTATCCTGCACATTAACATATATCCAATTTGCTGTTGGATGTGATGAGCAAACAAGGAGCTTGCCAAAAACATTCAAGCAGGATGGAAGGGTGGACACCTGCATTATGATTGTCAACATCTATTTTCAGCTGTCATTAAATCAGCTGGAAGATCTGAGCTCTCTATTTTCCTGGCAAGTTGTCAACAGCTATTTTGTATTCCATTTTACTTTCCACAGTGACCTGGACCAGATGTCATGCTTTCCAATCTCCTAACTGTAGTTAGGAGACTGATGTATATAAATATTGAAGATACTGCATGTCGTTACTGTTCACACACCTGATATGGCTAAAAAGGAAACTAAAAACATAAAAGCACAATAAAGCGATAATAACAGAGCCAGCATAGTTTACTGCTTAGCGTGTCAGAGTAGGATTGGGAAGACATTGGTTCAAATACCCACTCAGCCATTAAAGCGGAGGGTGGGCTAGGTCACTTGCTCTCTGAGCCTAGCCTAGCCTAGCTTGCAGGATTGCTGTGCAGATAAACTGAGAGGGGCTTGTATGACACTCTCAGCTCCTTTGAGAAAGGGTGGGATAGAAGAAAAGGAGGATGATCAACTATCCGCAAAATCTCAATCATTTAAAAGGAAACGATGTCACCCCTTTTGAAAGAGCCCAGTATTTGCCTGGGTATGAAAAATCAATAGAGAAGAAACCCTACACACCTTGCCCTGGTGGATGTCATTAAGGAGACAATGAGAGCTCTCGCTTGCAGATCAAAGGCATCACACATAAGAAGAGGTGGTCCTTAAGATATGCTGGATGCAGACAGGGCGAGGAACCTGTGCTTCTCCAGATGCTGTTCAACTCCAACCTTCATCAATCCCAGCCAGCAGGGCTAATGGGAAGGCAACTGGAGTTGTTCCCCAGCCCTGATCTAAGCATGAGAGCTTTGCTCAAGGGTTCAGAGAGAAACCTTATGGCCATCTATCAAGGATGCTGTAGCTACACCTTGCAACAGGGCACCTGCACAGAGCATCAGGTTGGATTAGAGGATCCACATGGTTTGCTCCAACTCTATGGTACTATGGAGCTTTGGTTACCATTGCTTCCCCTTCTCCCTTGAAACAAAATCCCTTCTGCCTTTCATTTTGGAGCTAACTGTGATGGGTGGGCACAATTATATCCAACCACTGTTTGCAAATCCAGTTGTCATAAATGCAAAGGGTGGCAGGAGTTAACCACCCTAGTTTGCAAGAAAGCCTGTATGAATGAAATGCCACTCTGTCATTACCCAGAAAGTGAGAAGGAAATCCATGCAAGTTGAGAGGGGAAAGAAGGTGGTGGTGGGCACAGGTTGCTCCCAGGCTTGTCCTAAGTACAGTGGGATGAGTGGGATGGTGTGACGTAGTGTCCTGCAACAGCAGGAGGTTGGACTCGATGGCCTTCATTGTCCCTTCCAACTCTACCATTCTATGATTCTATACGTATGCTAGGAAACAGAGCAGTATACAGTCTCCCCTGCACCAACCCTCCTTCCCTTTCTTCTTATGTCGCTAATTCACCACCAAACTCATATCTGTTTCCCCACAAATTAGGAAGATGTGAGTGCTACAGCAGGCTACTGATGAGATGTTTCAGGGAAGACCCATGGAGGATATTCTCAGGTGCATCATGGGGACCTGCAACAGTTTTGCTGGTTCTTGCAACTGTCCATGTGTCTTGGCCTTCCTTGTGAGAACTGTCTAGTTACTTGAATGCACTTTGCTCAGAAGATGGTGATTTTATTTATTTATTGTTATTTATTTATTTTATACTGATAATTTTAATTTTATATTTGTAAATCAATGTATTTTTTGTATTTTTGTATTTAATGGTAATTTATTATGTACTATTGTATTTCAACGTATTTTATCATGTTGTAAGCCGCCCCGAGGTTTCGGCAAGGGGTGGCATAGAAATGTTATAATAATAATAATAATAGTGTCAAAACCGATTCCCCGTTCTTAGGTTGGCTGAGATGTTTGACATTCCCCATATCGCCTGGCCAGCAGCTTAGAAATGCACAGCTCATGGCACTTTCTATTTCTCCTGGAGAAACAAGTCCTCACTTTTCATCCAACATCACCATCAGAAGGTACAACTCAGGGAGCTGTCCTGCACAGGTTTTAACAGAAAAAAGTCCCACAACTCCCATGATTCCCCAGCTGTTCATGGAAACCCTATTTTCATCCTTTGCCTAAGTGTCAATATCCTATCATTTGATCATGTTTGTGGAAGCGTTTACACAAGCCCTTCTACGAGCAGATCTTTGAGGCAACCCAGCTTTGTCAGGCTAGGGGTTGCTTGAGCATTGTGCTAGCAGAAATTGTGGTAGCATCGTCTTACCACTCATCTCTTGTGCTTTTTCCATAAGCCAGCATTTGCAATTCAGAATGCACCTATAATATTTGTGGCAGACATCCAGTTTCTGCTTACCTTCTTCCATCAGAGGAGAATGATTCTCAAACAAATCTCATCATGAGGAAGGTAATACTTAGCAAAAGCTTTCTTCCCTCATTTTCCACTGAATGATTCTAGTCCTGTCCTCTGGAGCAACAGAGATCAAGAGCGCTTCATATCGCTGGCCAGAGAATGCAGGGAGCTGCGGGATTTTTCATGCCTAAATCTAAACCTGCATAGATTGCTCCCGTAGTTGCCTAAAGGATGTGAACTCCAGACAACCTGAAGTCTCTGTTCCGGAGGACACATCTCTGCCCGCCCTCTGGCTTGGTAGCAACTGTGTTTAGCGTCCACTATAATAAGGCATGATGTCAGCCCTGGCTGCCGAAGGGAATGAGCCGGCCTCGGGGCAGGGCGACACAAAGAGGCTCCTCTCCTCTCAGCCAGGCCCCACCTCTCCCTCAGCTAAACAAACGGGTGAAAACAAGACACCAAGGCCTGTTGTTATGAGATGAGGAGGCCTCAAGAATATGCAGGTGCTGGTTAAGACTGTAACACTCATTGTTATCAGGGTGATACTGACTGGGTCTTGCACCCTGTTGCAAAGAAAAGAGATCGAACTGGGAGATGCTCCAGACCAGGATAAGTGCAGCACTTTTCAGAGGGAGAGGCCATGGAGAGCAAAGGGGGTCACGTCGCTCTCTTCATGCTTTTGCATCAACCAGGCTCTCACCGTGTGTCCCCTGTGAATGGGTAACGGCTGCTAAAATAAAACTGGTCGATCAGCCCATGAACCAACCAGCCCTTAGGGAAGCCTTCCCTAATTTGGTGCCTTCCAGATGTTTTAGACTACAAGCCCCACCTCCCATGACCACCAGCAAAACCATGAGGGGCTGGTGGGAGTTGTAGTCTGGAGGGCACTACTTTGGGAAAAGCTATTTGGTGTGTCCTGGTTTCCAGCTTTCAAAAACTTGACTGCTCTACGTAATACTACGGAGTGACCTTCAGCCATGCTTTCAGAGTGGAGTTGCCCAAGAAAGGCTCGCCTCCCTGCAGTCAGAGCTCTGCTGGATTGAACTGAAGGCCTATCTATGTGGGCGTTTTGTTACCAAAGCAGCCAACTTGATGCCTGGGAGAAGCTCACAAGCAGGGCGGGAGTGCCAAATCACCCACCCACTCATGTTTCACAACTATTTGCACATATAGACACACTGTCTGTGATACTGGAGGCAATCTATCACTTCATGTCCATGAATTGGTCTAATCCCATATTGTGGGCATCACTACATCTCGTGATAGTGAATTCAATAGTTGAACTATATGCTGTGTGAAGGATTAATTCCTTTTATCTGTGCTCTCACCATTCGTGGCCCCAGATTCTACCACTATAAGAAAGAGAAAGAGAGGAAAAAAGGAAAATGTCTTTCCGTTCACTTTCTCCACAACGCACAAAATTTTAGATAGCTCTTGTCATGCTCCTTCCCTACCCTTGACTTTTTTCTAAGCCATATAAAGTACCTCAAATACAGAGAGTGTTCCTCATAGTGGTTTATCCAGTCCCTTGATCATTTGGGTTGCCTTGGGTTGGGTTGTATGAAATCAAGGTTTACATTTGGGTAAGGATATATTATTGTGCTGCTAAAACTTAGGTCCTAAAAGGAAAACCTGCCACAGCAAATTAGAATCACAGGTGAGCAGGGAGGTGGATTGTGTTGTTCTTACCCAAAAGGATCAGCAAGATTCCTCCCAGCTGGGAGCGCCGGTACTTGGCCACCCCAGGTTCATGGCCCATCCGGATGCAAGGCAGAACAGTCACCAGAAGAAAAACAGCTGGAAGCCCCAAAACAGAGGCAGCAATCATCAGTGCCCGACAAGCCTGGACATAACCTGTGAGAAGGAAAAGGAAAGCAGTTTTGGGATACCACTTAGAAGGAATTTATATTAAAGTACTGCTGCTCTAATCAAACATGGAGATTCTGAAAAGATGGAGCAACTCGGATGCCTTCCCCTGCAGCAATCCGTTGGTATGGCGGAGAACAAGACATACATCCTCCTCTCAGCAACAGCCTTAAAGTTGTGTGTGATGCCAAGTTGTCCACATGGAACTCTTGTATGCTAGGTGGCCCACCTTCAAAAAGGGGGCTAGTTGGGAAAACTAGCTTGTTAAGTGTATGCATTCTGTATTTACCTTTGGTGTGTAGTGGAGACAAGTTGTGTATGCCCACATCTCTGAAATATGGATGGGCCCTTGCCAAGTGTGCGCCATCCAAAGGAGGCCAGGCAGCTTGTATGGAGCTTCCCAAAGAAGCACGTCTGCAAGTTCTCCCCAGGCACAACTGCGGCACAAGCAAGACCAGCTGCTTGCCTGCTGGCCTTTGATCTGAGGACATTTTCCAGATAGGCTGCTTGTACCACAGCAAAGAAAACACAAGCGCATTGCAATGCAATGGAAATTAATGTTTCGGTTGCCTGGGTGAGGGCTTGGGTACAGACTGGAGCAGATCTTGAGGGTGTGCGCAGAGGGACCCTGGCAGATGTTCAGAAAAGCCAGCTGGATGGGAACAAAGGCCTGCCTCAGCCTCCTCCAAACTGGCGCCATTCAGATGTGATGGACTGCAACCCTTATCATTCCCAGCCGGCATGGACCATGCTAGAATGATGGGGGTTGCAGTCCAACGCAACTACAGGGCAGCGGGTTGGGCAAGGCTGGCTTATTCAATCCGGGAACCTTTTGCCACGAGAAGCCCACAAGCAGCTATTTGAGGCTAAAGTCCTCTCCTGCCACAGCTGCCACTCAGCAATTGGAATTCAGTGGTATGCTGCCACTGGACATGGAGGTTCTCTATGTCCACCATGCCTAACAGCTACAGATAGAGGCATCCTCCTCTGGGTGAATCTGGGGCATTGCTCAGAAGGTTTGCGTGGGTTTCGGGATTAAGCCAGTCACAAAAGCTTTCTGTGCACCTTCTGGGTACCATTTGTCTGGCAACTGACTTGAAAACAAAACCCAATTGGGCATTGTTTACACGTGTGTTTATTTATCTATTTATTTAGAAAATTTCTATGCCGCCCCATTCGCCGAAGCCTCGGGGCAGCTCACAAATATATCAATTAAAATATTATACAATAAAAAAATAAAACAAGTTAACAATATAAAATAAGTCGCCCTGGCCGAAGAATAAAATAAATAAATAGTATTAACAGTTAAAATGACGTTTGAATAAAAAGGTCTTCGCCTGGCGCCGAAAAACAAATAACGACGGCGCCAGGCGGACCTCTCTGGGGAGCGCGTTCCATAGATTGGGCGCCACTGCAGAGAACAGAAAAACACACAGAAAAACAGAGAGACAGATATTTCAGGCAATGTGGAATTAATGTTCCACAGGAGCCCTTCCATCTCAGGTCAACAGCTCACAGGTTGGCCTGAAATGGAAGGTCTGTGACGGTTGTCAGAACAAGTAAATTAAATGCCCATGTGGGGTAGGCAACTCAGTGCCCTCCTGATGCTTTGGACTGCATTTCCCATCAGCTGCTATCACCAATGGCAAGGGATTATGGTAGGTGTAGTCCAAAGCACCTTGAATGCTGCCTTCTTCTGGGAGGTTCAGTGTAGTTTAGGGTTAGTCCTAATTTCTCATTGATTTCTCTTTAAAACTGGCACATGGAGAGTGTGTGCCTTGTTTAAAAAGTAACCTTTTTTGCTGCTGTTGCTGCTGCTGGTGGTAGGGCAGTGGGGGTGGCTGCATGCAGCCCCCAGGCCACAAGGAATGTGCCCCTGCATGAGAAGGTTAGATTAGGACCAGGCAGACCCGGATTAAAATTCCCATGTGGCTTTTTAATGGAATTTATAGAATGACCTTCAGATAATTATCAGCTCTCAGGCTTATCTCCTACACCAGAATGTTGTGAGGATAAATTAACTTGCAATTGTATGGTTAATTATAGAATATGTTTGAAATTTTGTCAACCACCCCAAGAACATGTTTGAAAGGTAAGCAAAAGCTACCTTAAATAAATAAACAAAATTGAGGGGTTTTTTGGGGTGGGGTGGGGTGGGGTGGGGGGGTGAGGGGGGAGAACAATTATGCCGTCCAGACTTCCTTAGACAAAAGATGAGATAATGAATAAATGAGACATTCTAAAATGAAACAGGCTTTGCTTTTTTTAAAAAAAAAAAGTCATTGCCCTGTAGAAGATGTATTACTATAGATACTGTGAGGTATATGAGGAGAGAAAAAAATTACCATGAAGGCACCTAAAAACAGACTGCCTTGGATCCAGGGTCCTTCCTCCACCTGGCCCCAGGAACAGAGAAGCTTTCTCCATCCACAGAAAGCTTCTGACCAGATGAGCATTCCCACTGGCAGAATGGAGGAAGAGACCATCTTCACCAGTGGCCCCTTCCCATTACAATCCCATGTGAATGCCTACTCCAAAAAGTTGGAGGAACCCTCCAGATCAATGGATGGCAAGTGGTGCTGGGGGCTGCAGGGGGAAGGAAGAGCTAGCAAAGAATTCCTGGCTCCCCACCGGCTTGAGAACAGTGAATTCTGCTCAGCAAGGGCTCCAGATGGTGGTGGGAAACCTTAGATCCAAATCTCTACCAGGCAAGAGTTTCTCAGCTAACAAGGCCACAACAAACATTACTTGCAACTGAATCTAGCAACTACAACTTTCATTTATTTTCCACTCTGGAACAGGCACAGGAGATCAAATCCTGATCTTAAAATCCTCCATCCACCAAGCTAGGGATCCAATCCAGATTGGGCCCTCTGACCCTCTTCTATTAGCAAAATGAAGTGCACAGGCGGGGGAAATGTAGCTGCTAGGTACAGACGTAAAGTCACGGTCATTTCAGCCCATTGATGGCATTTCCTCCACAGATGTTTGTACTGGATGTAAACACGATAATCGGCATGGATAGAGCAGCTGCCAGGTCACGCAGGCCTCACCAGCACAGAGCCCTCCAGACGTGCTGAACTGCAACTCAAAGCATCATTGACCATCGGCTATGTTAGCTGGGGGTGATGGGAGCTGAGGTCCAAAACATCTGGCAGGCTCCAAGCTGGGGAAGGCCAGAGGTGCCATACTTGAAGAGCTCCTAGCTCGTGTGTGTGTGTCAGCCAAGGAAACAAGAGGTCTGTGGCCAGGAGGAAAGCTGCGTAGGCATGTGAGCACCGTGCTTCCAGGACCCTGCTCGCCACTTAGTGGTGCCAGTGGTTTAGTTCCACCTCCAGTGGAGAGTCACATTGCCTCCAGTTACCAACTGATGGGGACAACTGGGGTGGAAGAGTATTCCTCCTGAACATTGCAGAGGCATCTGACCGACCTCACGCAGAAGAAGATGCTGAATGAATCAGTCTTTGGTCTGATCTTGCCCATCTCTTTCTGCATCCTTACTTCTTTTGTTTTCGGTGCTGTTCTAACAGGGGCACTTGGCTTGAACCAGTTGGGACTGAAGCATGGTCATTCACCTAAAGCCAGCCTGTTTGGGTTTATTTCTGGATGGGGAAGGCTGGGAGTTGCAGGATCTTTTCTGTCTAAACGTGCATATGATGGTGAACTCAGAGATTCCAAGTCTGAGTCTTCCATCACGCAATTAGCCTTAAGGACACAGCGATTAGCCTTAAGCATGCAAGTATGAAACCAGGGACCTACCTTATAGGGGAATTGAAAGGACTACTGAAATAATGTACATATAGTACTTGAGATTTATAGTATTTTATTAGCTTGAGTGAACTGTGGGGGATGGTGGAGGACAGGAAGGCCTGGAGGAATGTTGTCCATGGGGTCACGATGGGTTGGACACGACTTCGCGACTAACAACAACAAAATTAGTATAGTACTTATGCATCTAATGTTTCACTGGAGTATTTGAAACTGAGCCTAGTTTAAGGGGCTATATCCATAAAACAGTGTTATTCTATCTATTTCTGATGTTCAGATATGAGTGCCATTGCATATTTATCCAAAAAAAAAAAAAAAAAACCAATTCACACATAAGAGGGAGGCATCAGCAAGCTCAGGAAACCTGAAGCATAGCAGAAGTTCAATAAATACTGTAGGAGATAAAATCCAAACAAGGGGAGCCCAAATAACTACGTGCTCACTGGCTACAGAAGGCTGACTAACCATTAAGGGGAGGGCCACAGAAAAAAGGGTGGGAAAGGGGAATGGAAAAAAATATCCAGAAAAAGGATATTGCTGGCTGGAACCCACAGAACTTCTCCATGCTGCAACATTTTATTGCAGGTTCCACTTATTACTATTACTAATGTTAATTGTGAACCTTATTCTGGATTTAAAGTCAAAAAACATCTCTCTTGGAGAAAATGAGATACAATATAGTACAGCAAAAGCTAGCAGGATTTATCAAAGTTGATATAACTAGAACCCTGAGTATTTTGGGGGAGGTGATCCTGTTAGCCATTTTAACATACATTATATGAGAAATGTGTTATCCTCTCTGTTTCATTCTGATCTGGGAAAGGGTCATTGCTCAGTAGTAGAAAACAAAAAGTGTCCCAGCAGGACTGGGAAAGAATTCTGCCTGAAACATGACAGAGAGGCACTGTCGGTTTGTGTGTAAATAGGCCAGTGATCTAAATCAGCTTCCTATCTTGTAATGAGTCCCATTTTACAGATGCTGAACTGGGACTCAGAGAAGCTGAAATTTCAGAACCACAGAAGAAGTCTGGGGTCCTGTGGCAGGATTTGCTCACTCCTCCAAGATCTGAGAAAAACAGCATTGGATTCAGTAACCCTTTTTTGGTTCAAATTAAAATGAGAGAAGTATCTCAATGCAATGTCTTAGCCTTCATAACTTGATGTCCACCAGAAGTATTGGACTGCATACCTCATCATCATTCACAGCCTAAGTGGTCATCTAGAGGGCACCAGGTTGGGGAAGGCTGTGTGATCGGAACACTGGTACCACTGAAAGCAATGGAGTCAAGTCCCAAGTCTTCTGTGCTTAAGACTGAACTTTAAGAGATGGGGCTGGTGAGCTGTGATCAATACAAAGGGGATCCAGCCCTGATGCTTTGTCAGCAAAGTTTCACAGATTTCCTCTTGTGTCTCACAAGAAGACAGTGCCTGCCTGAACATGTGCAGAGTGGGATTTGCCTTAACTAAATTTGCTGGAACAGCCCTCTTGATACAGGGCTGAGCAATGCTTGCTGGTGTGAGAGGCAAACTTACAGGCAAAGCTTAGTCCCAGATTTTTAAAATTTGTAATAAAAAACTTTCAAAAAAGCACTTACACATTTACAAAGCTACTTTTCTCTCCTCCTTCAAGTGCATCCCCAGACCCAGGCTTTTCAGGAAGGGGCTGCCTGACCCAGTGTCCTTCCCTTCCAAATATGCATAACTGGATTTGCTTATATTTATTTTACTATCCTTTCTTCAGGACACGGATTTGTCCCTTTTGCTTACTGCTTTGCTAGGAGCTGCACGTATATAATGGAGCAGGAAAACAGCAGATGTCCAAGCACACAGCAGAGCTCCTGAGAGCTGCTAGAGCATAATCCATACCTGGCAGTATCAGGATGTCCACCAGCGGTTTGCAGTGGTAGAGCCCCGTAGCCATGACGCAGTCTGCCCACAGCCCCTTGGACCCCAGCTCGTCCATCTTCCGGCAGGTGGTGATGGTGTAGCCACAGGTTATGACCCAGTCGTTGGTGGAGGTGGCCACTATTAGGCCAATCCAGCCAACAAAGCTAGCCACAAATCCAGTTAGATGCAAGCAAGTGGCAACCATGTTTCTTCCTCACAGCTGAAAACTGGGAGAGCCAAAGGAGAGAGACCAAAAATAAAAAAATAAAAAAAAATTAAAAGCTATTTACAAATGGAAGAGAAGCAGTGATCACTGAGATGTGCTAACAGTCAAAAGAATTGTGAAGCTGAGAGGCAACGACTGCCACGGGTCTGTCAGCAGGCAGAGCTAGAGCCAGAGTGCGAGCTGGTACAGTAATGCCTCGCATCAGTTTGTTCAGCCTCTGGGAGGAGCCCAGTCCCACGCAGCTTAATGGGAGGTGTCCTAGAATGTGCCAAGTTTTGTTTAGTTTTTTTAAAACCCTCCCTACAGTAATGAGAGAAGTTGGCTTATTGGAGCAAACACAGCAAAAGTGGTGCGGGGTGGGGGGGGAAGAGGAAGCAAATGCAGCCTCAGCCTTTCTAGGACTTATTGGCAGTTGCAAGACTCATCAGGGTGAATCCAAATGTAAGCTGGATGGACTGTGCTGGCTGAAGTGGACTTCCCTGCCTCCTCCTTTTCATGGCAGTTCGTCTTGCCTGCTGAAAATGCTACACCAAGAGTCAGGAGACCCCACTGACCATTTGAGATTTTTTTAAGCACCTCTCACGCATTCACAGAATTAGAGGAAGTACTTCTAACATGCCTGTCCTCAATGGGTACCCTAAATGCTATGAGATCACCCTAAGAAGCTCCCTTCTCAACATCATGCAAGGTGAGGACACTGGTGTTTCTCGGTTCTGCTCCCAGATAGATATCCTGTAAAGGACTACCTGTAGAGCACTACCTGTAAAGGACTCCATATTTTCCTCCATAACCAGTTCTTTGATGGCCAGAATAATCAAGGTACGAAAACACAGTGAGATTACAGGTGGAAGGCAATGTTGCCTGAACCCTTGAGAAATTCTGTGAATGAGACCAGGTAAATTCACAATAAAAGAGTTCTCTGGGAGAAACCTCAGGCCAAAAGTGGTTCAACATGTATGGGCTAAGTTTATTCCATGGGCCCATTTCTTGGAAGACAGTGTAAAAGCAGAAGAAATCAGATGAAGTTCCTTTAGTGGGGATGAATGTAATGCGCACTTCCAAATGCAGACTTCTTTGTGCTGTCAGGTGCAACAGGCATAAATTCCTTGCCAGGTCTGAAGGCAGGCTGGGAAATAGTAGGATCAAGAGCAGGATCAGCCATGGCAACCAAGTTTGGAACTCTGCACGAGTCATTCCTACAACTACCTTAACAGGGAGGATTCACTTGTGCCCATTTTACAGAGGGGGAAGTGGAGCAAAGGTACGTGTGTTGGAGAAATCTGTAATGAAATCAAATATATATGGTTTTCTGTTAATCCAGCCTGCAGTTTCTACAAGAGATGTGCTTCTCCCAAGTTGCATGGATTCCACAGACTTCAGGACCAGGTGGTGGGTTTAAAAAAAAAAACAACAACCTGTAATTTTATGCAAATCTAGTAATAGAAAAAGAATAACAGAATGACCCAAATATGCATCCCCCCCCCACAGATCAAAGAGTGAAAATGTGCATTTTGGAGGGGATTTGTACCTATGATTGCATTTGCTGAAAATTCAATTTGGCCAGTGAGTGAATCACAGAAAGAAAGGAACCTGACAATCCACTAACACGGACAGGATGGGTTTAACAAAGTCTGTAGACAAATAGGCAGTTCTGTTGTGCAGAAATGATGCCACGGAGACGGACCCCAACCTGCGTAGAGGATCTTATGCCTGGGCTGTTGCAAGGACAGGAAAGGGGAAGAGCAGGTATTTGCATGAGTTTGGCAACTGAAAAACGTCCTGTTCTGATTGTGAGCTTTGTCTGTTGGTTTAATTTAATGGATGCCCTCAGGGGTTCACAATCAGTAAACTCAATTAAAAGAATAGTACTTGAAATTGAAACAACAGAAAAGCAATGAGCAACAGGGAGACATGGCAAAATCTTATGAAGCTGATGTTTTGAATAGCATGGGGAAAGGTTTAAACCTGCCCTCCTCTCCTGGAGAACTGCAATCCCAATCCAAATTGGACCCACATGCTTACAGGAGAATTTGGGAAGCAAGGGCACAGGGCTTTAGTGTGCATGCGTTACTGAACTTTTTGTATGACTCAGAACGCAGCTGCTAATTTGGACCATTCCTCAAGAACAAATGACAATTAGCACATCTCTCCAGGTATCCATAGGAATACATTTGCACAAAATTCAGTTTGGTCAGTGAACAGATCATGGAAGGAAAGATGGCAGACAACCCACAAAACACAGATGGAAGCATAATTCTCCAAGCACAGTTCAAAGTCCTGGTACTTACCTTTAACAGCCCTTTATAGCTTGGCACTTAGGTATCCAACAGACTCTCTTTTCCCACATGTACCTGGCTTACTTGGAGAGTGTCGTCAGAGGCCTTTCTTCCTTTGCTCCAACCTTGAATTAAGGTAGCCGGCAACCAATGATGAGGCCTCTTCAACTTTTACACATTGTCTGTGGAAAACTTTCTCAAGGATGGCACACCTGGTGCCTACTTGGATTTTCTTCTGATTTATTTCCCTGCAATGCCCATTTCCACCCACAAAATTCTACATGTAGCTATGTGGGATGGCATTTAATGAAAAAATGTGTAGAGAAAGTTGTGGGGGCAGCGGGTTAAAAAGAAGTTAGCCCAAAGCAGAGAACCCACTCGGTTTGCTTTATGTTTGCTTGGCCCTAACTGACATTTCGAAGAAGTCTTCAAAGAACCTTGCACATTAGAAAAGTCTAGTTTTGACCTTACCAAAGTGCAGATTTTTGTGGCCAGGAGAGGAGTTAGAGTTGGAATGTAGTATGAAGGTTGGTCCTTTGATGACACTTGATGGATCCTTGGCTGCAAACAGCAGGGAGGGAAGGATTGCCCAGAGGTTTCCATACCCATCTTGCCCACAAGCCTCGCTTTGTGGAAGGACCCATCAGAACGATGCCCTGAGGAGAGGAGGAGGAGGAGGAGGAGGTAGGGATAGGTAGGGATGAGGCCATGGCAGTGGGAGATACAGAGAAGGAGATGCAGCACAAGCAAAGGGCATCTTGCACTGGGTACCACACATCCTGGGTCCCACACATCCTGGGTCCCACCTTGATTGTCAGGGTCACAGCAGGATTGTCTAGAACAAGTTGGATGCTGAATCCACAGACAGATGAGCCACCTGCCAACAGAATCTCTGTGTTGTCAGGACTGGTTTATTGGCCTTTGTGCAGTCTGTTGCTGATTTCAGGCAAAAATTCAGCACTTCCACCCTCTTAGCTAAATGAGATGAAAAGGGGGCAGGGGATGCTGGGTGGCACCAATGATGACATGTCACTCTGAACCTCCAGAAGAATTTCAATAATCATTGGGATGTGGTGCCAGGATGTGTTGAATTATTATGCACATATTTATTTGAAAAATTGCACATACTTATTTGAAAAAGTTATAATCCACACTTTCAACCCAAAACAAGGGATTTCATGGTAGTGTTCACAAAACAACCTCAAAACAATACCATAGAGAGCAAGCGGAAGGGGGGGGGGGGGGGGCGACCCTCTAAACATCAGAAGAAGGAACAAAAATATATAAACATTTTCAACCCATTTAAAGGATACAGTTAAAGACTAAAACTGTTTTGAAAAACTGGAAGCTTGAGTTTAAATGGCAAATAAAGAGTGTTTCACCAGGCAATGGAACCTGTGCAGCCATGGCACCAGGCAGATCTTCCATGGGAGGACATTCCCAGGGAGCCCCCACCCCAGTGAGGGCTGACTCTTTTACAGATGTTTAAATATATAGTTCTTATGGAAGGCGTACAAAGAGAGGCCTTCTCTGAGGATCTCAGCACAGAGGAAGGCTGATGCAAGAGGAAGTGCTTCTTTAGATCTTTGGTCCCAAACTTCTTGAGGGTTGAAAGGTAAGCAGCTGCACCTCGAGCTGGGCTTAGTAGCAAATTGGCAATCTCTGCAGCTCCTTCAGAACTGATGTGATATTGCTCCCTTTAGGGAAACTAGGCACCAGAATTCCATACTAGTTGAAATTTCCAAGGCAGCCCCACCTCTTCTGTGTAGTTGCACCCTTGAGAATGGCCGCATTGCTCCAAATGGAGAAATGAATTTATGGCAGAACCAGCCCTGAAAGGTAGTAATTTGTGTAGAAATGTCCACAATGGTTTGATAACCAGGCTGGCTCTCACAGAGGAGTATATACAACTGGTGCACACTGGCTGTTATTCTTCCCCATCTTCCTGCACAGCTAAGGACCCTGAATTCTGAAGCTACATGAAACAGACAGACATATGTTTTTATCTTGGAACAATCTGGGTTTCACTCATTTAAGTGTTCACTCATTCCTGTTTTGATCCACTAGTCTACACATTTCCATTGCATGTCATGGGATTCTTCTCATGTTCCAGTTCTAGGCACAACTATACAGAAATAATAGAATTAGAATTGGGGGAATAATCCTAAATCTAGGATTCTTAATAGATTCTTTGAAATGCATATGAATTTTAATATGGGGGTACGGATGGCAAAAAGGCAGAAAGAAGACTGTGTTCCCAAATATGAAAGGCAGAAAGAATGTTTTGTGTCCCAGTATCTGAACTGCAAACAAAAGCATCTACATCTAAATCAGCCTTCTCTAATGTGTTTTCCTCCATGCCTGGGCATGATGGGAATTAGAATGCAGCACACATGTAGGGCAAGTTGGAGAAGGTTGACCCAGATTGAACATGCTTCAAATATGTGTTTCCCAAAGAAGGCATAAAACCTGGCATCTGAAAGCAAAGTCTCCCTTGGTGTATCTGATTAAAACATGCCTGTAGTGACCACTTGTGGAATTTTCGTAGCAGTGCACTCCAGGCTGGTTGTAGCACAGCTTCTGAAAGAGATTTCTAGATAAGAATGCTGTACATGGGGCCCAGCTGTGCGTATCGTCTCTTAGCAGCTGAATACTCCACAGCTGCAGACTGGTAGCTAAATGCAGGAACTGATTCCACTGAAGTTGATTGGGGAGTAACCTATATTGCCCCAGGCCTAGCACTATGATGCTGCACTACTATCATCAACCAGAGGGGTGTCCTTACCAGCACTTTTTAGGCAAAGGGAAAATACAGTGATTTGCCACCAGATTTCACTGCTGTGGTCTACCACTGAATTCCACTGGCAGACTGCCTCTTTCTTCCTTCGCCTAGCACGAGTTCTGTCTGAAGGTACATAAGGCATCCACCATGTTCAACCTAAGCAGGTCTGCGGCAGGTCTGAGCTGGGGGAGATGACCTGGGAACCTTGAGCTCCAGAATGGGAGAATTATATTTCTATACCGCCCACAGCCAAGCTCTCAGGGCGTTTCACGATATTAAGTCACCCCTCCAGATTTCAACCTGCTTATCTTCCAAGCTTAGTCAGGATCAGGCACTTCATGGCATACAGAAGCTATATTGGCAGCCTCTTTCAGCTGGCCTAAGGCTCACAGAGCTCCCAGCTGAATGTTCAATCCTAATGGCAAAACTGAAAGGCCCCCACGCACTGAAATGCAGTGATAGCATATTGTGCTTTTCAAACATGAGGCTTTTTGTTGCATATGATCTCAAATGAGAATGATACATTAAGGCTCAGTGAGGTGAACAATATTGTGATTATTTCTTGGAAATAAGCATCTGGAAGCTGCAAGCCTATCAACGTATGTTTTTAATAAGATTTAAAAAACAAACTTTTCAATTTCATTTTGCGAACTATCCCCCTTCCTATGTTGCATGCTGTGAAATTGGATCCAGCTGTACCATGTTTCTTGCATTCAGGATATGGTACCCCCTCCCCAACCCAAGACACATAATTGGTTCTGGCTATACATATGCCCAGAGCAGTGAAATAAATATATATAAAGTCTGATTTATGGTGTAGTGTTTCCAAGGCTAGATGTTCAATTAAAGGCCTGGAAATGGGCCCCTCAAAATTGCTTATGTACATCTTCTCCTTGATGGGAGATTCCTTGCTCTTGTCCCTGACTAGCCATATTTTTATGATTTTATGTGTTGTATCCAATGTTACTCCTTAGAGCAGACACATAAATTCTATTTATTTCAGTGGGATCTAATCTAACTAGGACTAACATTGCAGCAATCCTATGGATTTTATTATTTCACTTAAATTGCTGTGCACAAACTTCATGCTTTTTTAATAGCCCAAAAGATGGCACATAAATGCAAACAATCTATCTTTTATTCATATGATTTCTATGCTGCCCATAACTAAAGAGTTCTGGGAGCTGTCAATATGGAAATACTAAGCCATGCCCTCAATTTTTCCTGAAATGTAATAGTAATGGCAAATGATAAGCATGATGATAAAGGTCTGATGGTTCCACTTCTCTTTGGCATTCATAGGACACAGATTCTTTGAAGGCCAAGAGCATCAAGATTGCATGTCACATGGCAAAATTTACTTTTACACGACAAAACAGAATTGCACAATGGTGGACTGGATTTCTGCCAAAAGCAGCATTTGGGAGGCCCCCACAGTCCCATCCAGATTGCACCTCATCCCCTTACATGATGCAATAACATCAGGTGCTACTGATGCCTAAATTCCAAAGTACTTTGGAAAAGTATTGACTTTTAGTAGAAGTGCAAGGTACAGTGGGCAGAACTGCTGCTTTGTTATGCTGTACCTTCAGCTTTTTCCTGGAAGTTGTGTTCTGTTGTAGACATACTATTTCCCCCGCACTGAGCCTGTAATTTTTTTTATTTCAGCAATGCAATTCTTTCCAACACTTTGATACCTTGATTATTGCATAGGATTGGCTCATGTGTTATGAGCATTTTAAAAGGGTATTCCTTTTGATGTATGAGTCTCTCCATTTCCAGACCATTTTGTGAACCTCCTCTTTTATCTATGAAAATTCTAAAGCAATCATAATACTCCAATATTTGAGTATTGAATCCAAAGGCACTTCCACTCGATCTATTGGATAATTGGGACTGACTGCACATGCAAGAGAAAGCAGCACCAAAAATGCAAATTTCTGCATAGGGACAGGTCAGCAGAGCTTCCTACTGCAAGCTTCACTGACCTGTCCAATTCCAGAAATTGATTTTGCTTGTTTTGCTCTGCCTTTAGTGCCATTATATCTGCATTAAACAAGTGGTGGGTGTCACTGGTATACGGGCAGGCTGGTTTAAAAACCCACAGATAAACAGCAAGTAATCCCCCACCATTCTATTAAAGATGCAGCCCCCCCCCCCCAGAAAAACAAGTTAGATTGAACCTTTGAAGCAGTTTGCCATTTTTTTGCCACTGCGTTTGGTAGAAGGGCAGCAGGTGTAACCTGCATGGAGAGTCAAATTCCCATCCCCCTGCAAATCACTCATCTCTATTATTCACCCTGCCAACCCCATCTCTTAGATGCCGGAAGAACAAGGCCGACAAATAGCATTTAACTGGATTGGACAGAATTTCATCTTCATGCCCTCTTCCAGAAGAGATGGATGCAAAGCCAACAAATTCTGAGATTCTTTTGAATATCTGAATATTTTCACTTGAATACTTTGCAAAGTGACTCGAATCAGGAAAACTCATACCATGATACATACGTTTAAAAGAGAGAAGCAGAAACAAAACTGCCATGACAAGGAATCCTTGTGTTATATCATTATCTGAAATATCTGATGGTACAGAGGTAAACATGGGCCGAGAGAAATCTGTATAATGGGAAGCAATGCCTCTCCCAGCTTCCCATTCTCTTAAAGATTCTCAGTCCCCAGCCTTACAGGGCTTCTCCTCTATGTTAGTGCACAAAACCAGCATTGTGAAATATAGGTTTGAACAAACATTCAGTTAACTGACTGTCTATACAAAGCACAAAATGGTGAGGTACTCGATATTAGAACTGTTTATTTGATGTGGATCCACAATCTATACAGGATATTTACAATGCATGAAAAATGGAAAACTGCACAAAATACAATTGAGGTATAAGCTAAGAGCACAGTATGTCATGTCTCAATAAATAGAATTCAAAATTTGTAAACTAAGTGACCAGATAAATGTTACTTTTTTTTTACTAAAACCATACAAAATATTTTTGTATCACATGAGGTAGAGGACAGTTTTGTGTGTCATGTAATGCAACCACATCAATTCCAACTGTAGAACTGTACATCATTGGCAAAGCACTGAAAACTATTAGTTTGCACCAATCTTTTTGTCTTAGGTGTTTATTTTTATTTCAGTCATTCCACTTGTTGCCTTGCTTGTAGAACACATTCGATCTTTTTATAAATCATACTTTATAAATTTAGATTTTGGACACAACCCAGAAAAGTACTTGAAATTTGTTCAAAGACTTTTATATGGCCAGCAGGGCATGTATTCATGCATATATAATTATGAACAGCAAAGCAGATGCCACATTACAAACTGATTTTGCAACTTCAAAAATTATTTGCTATATGGAGAAATGCTATTCATGTAACATGTTGTAGTCCCTACTGAACACACACTGTTCCTCTGGATAGTGAAAATCTTGATAAAAAACAGTGTAAGTTCTACTTAAAGTAGATCAGTTGAAAGGTATGAAATTAGTTCATTATAACTTGTCCCATTCAACAGGTCAGTTTAACTAAGATTTATGTTGGATTTTATCCATTAAGATTTCAGCATCAAATATATTCAAAAGTGTCATGAACACACACAAAATAGAATTTGGCAGGCATGAACCTGGGTATTCTGGAAGGCAATATAGCTGCATCAGAACATTTAGACCAAAATTTTGTGTTTGCTAGAACTTTTAGATACATTACAACTGTGCTTCCCTTTTCTTGAAGTGAGGTATTTGAAAGAATACAATGGATTGCTATATTTCATTGGATATTCTATTTTGAAAATAAAAGGGTTGTTTCACAGTGCTTGAATATCAGAGCACTGTAAAATCCAAACTATCCTCTAAACACTTGTGCAACTATTAAATGTGTGATTTTGCTTTCATAATAGAGGCTGTCTACAAGAACATTAACCAAAAGCTTTCCTTATGGAAATTTTGGACTGCCTCATATTACCATGGATTAAATGAAGAACAAGATGTAGAAAGCATTTATAAGAAAGTAAGCTGCATCTTCCTGAACAGAGATTATTTGACAGCACGAATGGAAATATTTCAAGCATAAGATAATAAGTATGTATGCATTTTGTTGTATTACATTATCAAGGGGCTTTAAATGTGCATTAATGATTTATTTGCATTCTGTGTAAACAATGTATCAACATGTTTTCTAATGATCAGAAGAACTTTAGGGAGCAAACTTGGAAAGTGTTTTGAGGTCAGCTACATAATCCTATGAAAGTGCCTCAAAGTTATAGCAGTAAGTCATCCGCATCACTGTTATGACTTAAAATTCTGCAATTTCAAACTGAGGTTAAAGGAAATGTGGAAGTAGTCACTGGTAGCGCCAGGAATGTGGGATGAAGCAGCATTGTGCCAGTCCTCCCCATGGAATAGCCTACTGCAAAGAGTTGCATTACAATACCTTGAATATGTACAAATGATTTTACAACAATCAATATATTAAATATATAATTAAATAAATCCAAGAATGTAAAATATACGCTTTAACTATCAATGTTTATCTCACACAAGCTAAGTGATTTAAGCCCTACCAAAAAGAAAAGCACATGTCCGAAATACACTTTGAGGTTTTGCTAAAGCTTTAAATCTAATGTCGAAGTATTTTCAAGTCTGAACATTCTTAGGGCTGCCACAATGATAGGAGATTCACATCTACATTTCTTGAAGAGTCAATTGCACTCTGGGCAAAAGCAGGGATGAAATTTGGAGGGTTGGGATAACAGCTAATTATTTCAAAGGGACCCAGTATATTTAGTTATCATCATCTCAAGAACTCAGCATTTTATTCTTACCTTTTTTTTTAGTTTAACAGAATCCAACAGAACTATTTAGAAAACTTACAAGGTGTCCTGCGCCACTTTAAAGAACGTCGCATTTATTATGACATAAGCTTTTGCAGACTGGAATCAGCTCCGTTCAGATATATCTGATGAAACTGAGTCTAATCCATGACAGCTTGTAATGTAATACATTTGTTGTTTTTGCTGCAACAGATGAAGATAGCTACCCCTCTGAAAATAACAAAGTTAAATTTTATTAATGAACCTCACCTGCAAATTATTACATCATTACAAATGGGTAATTTTATTAAAAACACTGTCGGCTTTACAAATGCTTAATTCTTTGACAATATACTACACATATCCATGTTTTGCAACTTGCAGTGTAGTCTGTGGATGAGAACTTTTGCTTGAGTTTTTTGCTCTGCACATATTTTTTCTTTTGTGCTTGTGGCACACTGTAGTTGTCTGGATTATGTCAGATTGATAGGGATATCCTCATAGCATTTGAGTTCTACTAAGGCAGAACTGTAACCCTGGCAAAAACTCTCATCAATTAAAACCAAACAACCAACAGGGGTGCCAAGAAGCAGATTCTCTTTTCGTTTTTCCTTCCCTTCTTCCCTCCCTCCCTCCTTCCTGCATTTGTGGCAGCTTTGCTGCTAAGTATTCCTTAAGTGTAGGATTTTTTTGTTGATAATGCTTCTCAAAAACACCAAAGACAATTTGAGAAACATACTTCCTATCTAAAAAGCCAACATAGAGTTGACTTTAAAAAAATCACTAATATGTAACATACAGAATGAGCATGCTAAGGCTAAAAGAACAAATTCAAATGGACAAGATAATTTGTCAGAGATCTCTGTAAGTGGGCAAAGGTTTGTATGCAATTCAAGCTATATAGGCAGTCGACTAAATCACCCATGAAATACAGCATGGAAAGAGATCAACATAAGAAACTACTTGTTGTAAAACATAGAATATTTACAATCTACTACAAAACTATCTCTTGGTGACTATAGACACCTATGGCACAGTTCTGTGTATTAATTATATAACACCTATGGAAGTCATATGTAAAAGAAGCTTAAATGAATTGTTCAATGTAAGAATTACATAGAGATTTAATGAAACATGAGTATGTGGTTTGATCTTTAAAATTTTCTGAAATATTAAATAATCTGAAAGCAGCACTGTCTCATCATTACTAGTATAAACCAATTTTCTCTAAAATATAGTCAAAATTGTAGCCATTGGCTCAGCTCCAATACTTGTAGCTGTAGAAACATTTAAAACAAACACTGACCCTTGTAATGACATTTAATATAAATGCTGACCTTTGTCTTATTATGCCTAAATAGATACATGATACAATGGTTAAAAATTCTGATTGGATTGTAAAATATACTTTACAAAACCATTTCTCCATAAGCAACAGTGGAAACTGGGGCATATTATTGCACTTACATTCAGAAACAACTCTATATTTAAAACAGAAAGGATGCCTTCACTAGCTGTGGATCATACTTGGAATACCCTTGTATTGGGGGCAGGAAAGCAGGCACTGGTTGAATGTTAATATCAAATCATGAAGTTAACTACACAATATTTGCTGTTTGGACACACTATCTGAAGGGTCAGTTCAAGCATTTTGCTTTTGTTGCTCTTGAAAACAGCTCCGTCAACCAGTCAATTCAATTAATGGTTGATAGTTATTTCCATAATTACATGGGTTCTTTTTCAGCTACTGCAACTATAGTGATTAGTTCTGGCCTCCTGGGATATATATAACAATTTTATGAAATGCAAAATGAGCTTCACCTTGTGAGCCAAGTTTTAATTCCTCCTGCCTGGGTAAAATATCCAAACCCCAAACTTAATTACCACAACTCCTTGCAAACTCAATTCATGAGTTACTGTGAGTACTTAGATCAACATGCTACTAGGGTTCCTGCTCATCTGAAAGACTCTGCACATACAGATGCATGGGTAAAAGGGCCTTCCCTGTTGATGTACACACACCTAGAGGAAGGGCTAAATGACATTCATGATATCAGGAATGGAGCTATAGCAACTCCAGCCCATTTATTTTGAAGTACATACATACTTCACAAACTTGGTGGTTGTTACAGAGTACAATGAGTCTCTATTCAGTTTCCTCTGCTATTTAAGCTCTACATACAACTCACTGGAAGAGTTTTACAGGTTTCTGTAGTAAAGGGCAATCAACCACACTCAGCTTTCTTCCTTCACATCAACCCAGTTGTAATGGCTACCATCTATTGAGAGGCTGAACAAAGTTGAATGAAGTCTCTTATGTGGGGAGGCTGAGCAAACTGGGCAATTGTGGACTTAAGTCACTTGCCCTTGATTATATGAACTGTAAGTAGTAACCTGGTTATGTGCTCCTGGATTTTCATGTGGTAGCTCTGGACATAAGTGTCTCTCATTAGCTTCATTAGCTATTCTCTCTTCTCAATAAGGGCTTTGCTACCCTTCTGAACACACTGGTAATTTATTGAATGGATCATGATGATGTGCTTTGGAGAGAACTGCTTTTAAAGAGAGCCTGGGAACTTTAGATCAATCAGAATGGCACAGCTTAACTATCTGTGGCCATGCACAGGAAATATATTATAACAATTCCACAAGGGTTCCACTGCCCTCCAGTTAATTTCTAAGCTAAATGCATGGTTTTGTTTTTGACCTTTAAAGCCTTAAGTTACCTGGGCCTAGAATATATCTTCTATTAACTACTCACCTACCAATCAAGTAACTATTATGGGTTCTATTATGAATCAAGGTAATGCAGTAATCTACAAATGGTTGCTCCTGATTTGTGGAATTCCCTACTAGATCCTGCACTAATAGTTGTCTTAAGAAGTGCAGCTAATATTTTATTTTGCTAGTTTTAGTGAGCAATCCAGTCCAAGTGCCCTTGGCCCTGATTTGAAGAATTATGGGCATCTATGTAGGACAGGAGAAAAGCAGATGAAGTTGCTTTTGTGCTCCTTCAGCCCTGCAAAACATTTACACTGATTTCAACGAAGTGTTGCACCTCAGCGTGCAAGGGGAGTCTGAGGTGCTGTCATCTTGTATCAAAATGGTACCTAGCTCCTCCTCCTCTTTCACTTTTCAGCAGTCGAGTCCTTTTTTTCTACACCAGTTGGTGTGTCTGTTTGTGTGTGCGTGTGTGCGCGCGGGGGGGGGGGAGTGTTCTGACTTGAGAATTCCTGCTTTGAGCAAGTTTGCAATAATGAAGCCTCCAAAAAACCCAGTGGCCACCTAGAGACTGTCTGGTACCACAGGATCGTGCTGCCCATCCTTTCACTTTATTTTCTATATTGCCTCTTTACTTTTTAAAATGTTGCTTTAGTATATATTTTATTCTATGATTTATTTAATGTTTATATTTTTATTAAATTTGACTGATGTAAGGTGCTCTGGGGAACAAATAAATACCTGAAAACCAGGCTGTTTTAACCATGAATAATAAATAAAAACAAAAACAAATTTGGTTGTGTGGTCCGTATGCAACATCAACACTGTATATAAAAAAGAGTTAAACAAATACCCCAGAGTTACATTTGTAGCAAGTTTTCAGAGCATACAGGATATATGGACTTTTATGAGAATCAATATTTGTAGTGTTGTTTGCAGATACTAGCATTTCTGTCCATATTGCAGTATGCATCCCAATACATTCCTGTATTACCCATTACATGCAACACCAATAACGAGAGAAGTTTTAATTTTGTGAACTATATTGGCCACATTGTTCTTGAAGTTATCTGGATATGAAATCTGACTTGGGGACAAGGATTTCTGTCCTTTTCCTATGTTCCACTGCTGGAAAATATTTCATTCAGTTAAATAAAATTCTTCTGAAAAAGTTCTTTATAGGTGAGGTCTTTAGAAAATCAATTAATTCCTTTATGCACTTTTGTGAAAATACTTTACCAGCTTGGCTTCTGATCAAAAAAACCCATGTAGAACTGAACGATTTGTTAAATGACACTAAACTAAATGTTATTTGCCCCAATACAAACATTAGCATTTATTTACAAAAGAAACATTTAATGACTATGTTGTTTTAAAAAGCAATGTTTACCCTGCTTTAATGAAAAAAGTATCATTTTCACAATGTCAGACTCCCATTTGTTCCCCCTCAACTTTTTAAATAATAAAGTGTCAAGATCAACCACTTCCATGCACTCAAAGAAAAAACATGCATGAGAATCTTATTGCTAGTGAAGTAACCTACTTATCCAATGGTAAACTGACACTCTACAAAATCAGTCTGACATTTTCAAGCTTCCATTAGAGGCTGGGAATGCTCAAAGAAAAGTGTAGTCCCTATTCTGACAGGAAGAAACTTCCAGTCAGAATAGTTTCGCAAACTGAATAGATAGAGTTGAAAAATAAAATGTCTCCAACTCTGTTTAGGGAACTCATTTGCATAACAACATTCAACAAGGTACCTAAATAATCGGCACGTGGCATTTGACCATTTATACGAAAATTAATGTGAAAATCTGCAGTTAGAAAAATGCTCAACTATTCAATAATTTCCAATTAACAGTTCTTTCCTTGATGCAGCATTAATTATCAAATGGAGTATCAGGATAGAGCAACACAAGGAGTAAACATTTTTGTTTTAGACTTCAACTGTAAAATTTAATGTAAATGCAGTGCATGCAAAAGAATGTATGTGGATGCTGCATATTTTCAGTAAATGTAGTTGCAATCAATAAATGGTAGAGCCCTCAGGACAGCTTGAACAATAAACATATACAGAGAACTGTAAAATGTACAGTTTCCATGTTGCTTGTAACCATTAAAAATAAAATAAAAAGCAGCACAAATACAGATTGTGTCAGTCTGGAAGTTGTACAAATGTATATTATTACAGGTTTATATGCATACATTGGACACAATCTACTGGGAACTTCTCTTGTGCAAAACATGGTTGAAATAACTGGGAGTTGCAAACTCCCGCTCTACTGATTCTGCTTGCATAGGACAAATTCCCCATAATTGTCCCCAATATTTTTGTTTATCCATGGCTTGGCTACTCCTTGACAGGTAATTTATAGACCCTGCTGAAAAAACGCAGATACATTCTGGTTGGCACTTTATTTCCCCTTGCCGTTTTTTGAAGACTTCTGAATCTGAAGTTTTAATTCCTTGATCATCATCTCTAACTTTTGTCTTGCTTCTCGTTCCTGTCTCAGTTCATCTTGGAGCTCTTGCCTATCAGCCTCAGCATGATCCAGCCTTTGTCTCAGCTCTGCCAACTGCAAATTTTAAAAGTAAATTTAAAACTCCAGAAATCATACATAGATTCTGAAACAGCATCACTGAGGCATGTAGAATAATCATTCTGTTCCAAAATGTCACATTATTTGGTGTTCATATGAAAGGGGGAAAAAGACTGGCATGACTCTATACATTTCGTAGAAACTATGGTAAACTGTATGCAGATGTGTACAGAAAAATTACTAAATGTTTAAAATACTATTTACTATTATTATTTACAACCATCCATCTATGAGGGATTGTGCAATTTTTCCATTGTTCATCAACAAGAGAAATAGGAAGAAAAGTGAGAATAGTAGTGGTATCACAATTTCAGAATGCCTTCTTTCAGGAAATGGATACAGACCGCTTTTTGTTACCCTTTGGCGACGTTAAGAGCAATTTGTTCCATTATGCATTTTGGTTCATTTTAGTGTACTGTGCTTTTAAATGAGGTTTTATGGTTTGATTACTTTTTGTATTTTAAAGTATGTTATCCACATTGTGAGGGCTTTAACTTAAAAGTGAGCTATGAAGGAGATGGAGAAATTCCATTACAATAGTTTTTAGTCAAACAATGAATGAAACAACCTGCTATGTTACACAAGCTGATTTCCACTGAATACAGTTTTCATGATGATTAATTTTGATGTATAAAACTATAGATCAAATTTCCGTTGAAACTAGTGAGCTACAGAAGCCATCTAGTGGGGAGTTTTAGCATAAATGTAATAGGTTTTCAGTAGAGGTTTAACAGAATTTCTTTACTACTAATATACTAGAAAGCATTTATAACCTTTTTATTTCTCTTGCATTATACTAGAATTATGAAGCTGTTTTGTAGGAGATCAGCACATAGTAAAATGCATGGAATTCACTATCACAAGATATACCCATGTTCACCAATTTGGATAGTTTTCAAACGGGATTAAGAGAAAAATCACTGGAAATAAGGCTATCCATGGCTATGAACCTGATAGCTATATGGTGCCTGCAGTGTTAGGGATAGTATGCTTATGTATATCAATTGCTGGGGAACACAAGCAGCAGGGTGCTATTGAACTCATATCCTGCTTGTGTGAGAGACCACTGTGTGAAAAGCATGCTGAATGAGATAGACCCTTGGTTCATCATCAACAACTTGCAGTTATATCCCACATTTTCCTCTTCTGAGGAATCCAAGGGGATTCACATCTCTCCATTTTATCCTCACAACAACCCTGTGAGGTGGCTTAGACTAAGAATGGACGACGGGCACAAAGTCACCCAGGCACAAAGTCACCCAGTGAGCTTCATGGTCAAGTGGGGAATTTATTTGTTTATTTATTTAAAACTTTAGACCATCCCTTACCATAGTCTTGGGACGGTTTAACAATAAGACAAAACACAACACAACGGAGTATCCTAATCAAATTCTTAACAATCAACAATAAAACCCGTATTAAAACTCCCAGGTCCCCAATTGAAAACTCTCAACACCATAATATACTGTATTGTTCATAATGTGAGCATTATGGATACTTACTTGAAAGTAAATCATTACAATCAATAGAATAAGGAGGAACAGTTCACACATGGCCAAGATTGTGTATGTTATCTATGTGACTGGGTGCTTCTTAAGAGACCCTTTGGATCATGTAACCTTCTCTACAGCATACGTATAACCTTTAATGAGCATTAAGGTTGGCCAGCATAAACAAGTACACCATTAAGCCCCAATTGTACAATTTTCTTCTCTCAAGAGAACAGGCCAATGCAAATGTTGTATAGCACATAGGCATTTTTTGTATAACACTTCAGGATTTGTTTCAAAAGGGAAGCATGTATAAATATTGCTAAAAAATAAAGTATGAAGGTCCTAGTTCTCATTAAAGGATATTGGGAAGGGGATATTTAATTTGTATGACTAGGGGCATGTGTGAATAGCCCCTTAAATTCAACTAACCAGGATGAGCAGCCAGGCTAACAAGAAGACAATGATTAAAAAATATTACTAAGACACCCTTTAGAATAAATCCCTAAAAAAGAAAAATAAGAGATCTAATGAAGTAGTTCTGAGGATGGCTGTAAGACTAAATTAAGTAATAGCTAAAAAGTATCAAGTAAGACTGCTTTTTTTAAAGATAAGACTATATTTATAAAGATAGTTGGAAGGAAATAACGAAGTGAATGCACATACTGACAGTACCAGCCAGTAAGGATCCTGAAAGCACAGGACAGTACTATTCTCAGAAACTCAACAAAAGACTTAGTATTGATAAGCTGAGAGAAAAGAACAAGACTTTAAATAGCAGGTATTTAGCAGGACTCATTATTGATTATAACCAGTTTCCACCTGCACCCATTACTCTGATCTCCAAACAAACGTCCCAAGGATGTCTTAGAGAGATGGACAATTCATTGTAATCTGTGGTTGAGCACAGTAAGGAATATCATCTACAACACAACAGTGTAGCCCTCAAGCCTTAAAACACAAGTTACATTCCTTTCCTTAACCATCTCATAGAAATGTTCTGATGATGATGATGATGATGATGATGATGATGATGATAATCTCAAAGCTATTTTTCTTTCAGTCAACTTCAACTGTACTAGGTCTTACAGTCAACTCACATCCAAATACTAATAACAACTGATGCTTTTGATCAATCAGTTAAAATTTAAAAAAAAATACCAAGTGTAGTTTATTTGATCAGTGGGTAAGATGGGATTTGAAAGCATATTCTAATGCTGGATATGTGTAATTTTTCAGAGACTAGTAAATGAAAAAATTATTTAGGCTGGATGATTTAGAATGAAGAACAAAGATTTAGGATGTATTCCTATGGCTACTAGAAAGAGTCTTGATGGCCATAGAAGTATTCAGAATATCAGCTCTGCCCTCTGAAACTCACTCCAAGATGTCTTCCTTCCAGCCTAATACACAACACGGAAAGAACTATACTAGCTGAGACACTGAAGTCACAAGAATGAGTCTAGAGATGGACTTTTATGGGCACTGAAGACACAGGCACTGCCAGCATAAGTAGTACCCTGGTGGTGCCTCAGTTTCCTCTCCTTGCTTCTTCATGGCAAATTCAGCCAACTAAGTGTTTTGCACAATGGGAGAAGCATGGAGGCAGCTTTCCGTGCTACTTCTGCCCTTCACAGAATACCCATAATCTTCTAAGTTTGAAAAGTTTTAGGCAGCCTCATTGGTTTACTCTTCTTGTTAAACTTCCAAAAATCAAAGTTTCTAAGACTGCAATTCTGCACATCCATGTCTGAAAGTCAGTTCTATTAAACACCATATATTTTGTTTCAAGCTTTATATTTAATTTACAATTGTCAAATATTGTGTGCCTTTTGCTATATTTGTTATATCTGAGGGAGCCAGTGTGGTGCAGTGGTTGAGTGCGAGACTGGGACTCAGGCAACTGGGACTCAGGTTCTAGTCTCTGCTCAGTCATGGAGCCAACTCGGTGACTTTGGGATGGTCACAGTCTCTCAGTCTAACCTACCTCACAGAGCTGTTGTTGTGGGGATAAGACTGAAAGCAGGAGAAGAATGACGTAAGTCACTTTCAGTTTGTAAGAAAAAAATTAGGATATCAAATAAATATCAATCTAATCTAAAAATCAATCTAAAAATCTAATCAATCAATCAACAAAATAAATAAATAAATAAAATTTAGCAGTGATTCATAAGTAATGAGGAAGAACATTTACTACTGGCCTAAGATTAATATGTTCTGCTTACCTGAGCAGCATACTCTGCTTCTTTGTCCTTCTCCAAGTTAGAATCACAGGTACATTTTTGCTTTATTACCTGCTCTAACTTCTTCTCTAAATCCCTTTGCTCAACATAGAACTCTTGCATTCTTTGAGCATGCTCAGTCTGCAAAGATTCAAGTTCTTTTTGAAGGTTCTGCTGTTCTTCTGTTAACTCCTTCATGGCTTTTGAACTATTTAACATTTCTACTTCCTGTGAAGATAATAGTTTATTGTTATTTGCAAATTTCAATAGTCACTGGCATTTTTGTTATGCAGAATATACACTCCAATTCTATGACACTTATTTGAAACCAGGCAAAGATAAAATCCATATACCTAACCCACAGTGGGAAGCATATTTACTCTTATCATTTCTCACAGTCAAAGGACAGGACACAAATCTAGAAATACTTAACATTTTTCTAGAAAGCAGTTCAGCCTTGAAAAAACTCTCAAGCAGTGAAAGAGCCCTTGTGTATAAGGTTTCATACTAAAAGTAAATATAAATGCTGACAAAGAGCATGTACAAAGATAAGAGCACTAATTAAGCCCCTGATCCTTTGGAGAAGTTGTTTTCATCCTCATTTAACATGCTAATGTATAAAACTTAAGTCTGTGCAAACACCTAAGCAACTGTATCACAGGAATTCCCACTTCTCCTCCAAACTTGCTTTTCTGAAGTCTTTCCTAGGCTACCACAGTCTTACCTACATTCTTCTGCTCTCCACCTGTTTATCCATCCCAACTATATCTTTATTACTTTTCACTCATCTGCAAATATTTCTCCCCCTCCATCCCATTTCTTATGTGAAAACCCATAAGGGACATGGTCTGTGTTACTTCTGAGTTCTACACAATGCTAAAGCCAAGTGTCAAATAATATTGGAGTACTATATGAAATGCTGAGATTCCCACATATTATTTTGTAAATTAAAGTTTTTCCTGCGTGTTCAGCTTAAAATGCTAATTGCTGTAATTAAAGAATTTGCTTTGTAAGTGAATCCACAACATTAGTCATCTAGTACTGCTCTTGCAGACTTGTAATCTTTTTTATATTTTGGGAAGAATCTTAAACAGTCAGCGTCATGAACATGTGGACAGAAACATTTTCACAGAGCATTCTCTTCCTGTTTCCATTCCAATTCAGATCTATCAAATACCACTACATTTAAGAATGTGTAATTATATAGTCATAGCATTTAGGGTTCAGTCCTATGAACGTTTAGACAAAAAAGGCCTACAATTCCTAGCTGTCCCTATAATCCCCACCTGATTGGAGAATGCTGAAAGCAGCATCTTTTTCTGTGTAAACATGCATATGATTGTGTCCACAATCAGGGAACAACAACAAAAAGCTTCACCTCTAAATGGTGATTTCCAGCACTGAAAATCACTTCAGTAGCATTTGAAGTTTCATTACCAAATCTGCAACACCAGAGTATCAATTTATAACATAAATGAGTGAAACTTTAATACAGACTGAAGTCCCTGCTTTTAATGCTCCTATCTCGGTATTATTTGCAGTAACAGCTAACATTCAAATCAAGATCAAAATATCAAATCAAGAGATCAAAAGCTACTACAAAAAGTTACGTGACAGTTTTCAAATGACAGAACAAAGTTCAATCAGGTTCATGCCATACCATTTGAAGATGCTGTTTCTTTTGCAAAATTGTATGCAGCTTTTCTTGCTGTTTTATATAGGTTTTCATTACTTCTTCCATCATTTTCCCTTTATCATCATCACAACCAAAACCACTGCTAAGAGTATGAGATGAGGTTTGTGCACAGTTGTTTGCTTCTGCATCATCTTCTGTAGTTACTTTGGAAGAGACCTGTTCGGTTTTCCTTCTGTTTGCAGGCTTAAGTGATCCAGGCTGCTCTATAAGACAGAAAAGCAACATTTACTGAAATCCTGCACAGAAAGCAGCAACAAGTACACAAGTACACAAAATTATCGAGTAGTTTCATTTTCTCACTTACCTACACTAGCACACATTTCTGTGTTAAGTTTCAAGTCACCTTTCTCTTGTACTTCAAGTGAGAAATCCTGATAGAAAATATTCTTTTTGCGTTTGCCACCAACGTGTTGTTTCATTGACTGTCCAGGTAGAGATTTAATTACCTCTGAAATCTTCTCTGCTGTTTTTGTGGCTTCTTTACATTGTTGTACAGAAGAGGTAAGGGATACATTGGGAGCAACCATTTTATCACACATGTAAAAGTAGTAGCTGCAAACAACAAAATTGCAAAAGAAAAGTATTTAAATTACTGACCCAGAACTAAGGAAATCTTGGGCTTTAAAGCCTGGGGAAATGAATTTATTTGGACCTGATGGCACAAGAATAGTCTTAAAAAAGGAGAATTAGTTGCCTAATATCAGGATTGTTTTAAAGAAGTTGCACATATTCATTATTCAGTGCAATTTAAGAAACACCAAATCAACTAGGGAAGGAAATCTAGATCCTATCATAACATGCAAATGTCTTATTAGCAAGGCTGAAGAGATAAAACGTAGTTTCCAAGTGTTAATACAAATCCACCGCATTACTGAAGCCTGTATACTTGACAAATTGCATGCCTACTGCTTTGCTTTTGCTGTGCTAGGATTTGTAAGATTACTTTTAGGTTAGTGTTTTATTACACAGACTTAACTATAAAATAGATTTAACAGCTCAAGGTGCAACTCAAAATTTATCTACAATCTGTATTACAGTAGTTACAGAAAAGTAAGTAGATTTCTCCACAATCTAAGTATCAACAAGAGGATGCAATTGCAATAATTATTCTGAAGATGAAGTAGGACAGAACACACAAACTAACAGCAAAGCCAGTTCCTTGCATGGTTAGGAAAGGCATTCTCAGCACTGAACTGTTTTTATGGGGACTGCTTATTTTGTAACATGGCAATAGCTGCAGCAGTGTTTTCTTGTCCAATACTTGCATCTGTAAGCAAATTTCTGATCTTTCAGTACATTCAATGGTTTAATTAAAGGAGAAGCTATTAAATACGGGTGTCCTCAGATCCAAGTGGGGCTTGCATATGAATTTATTAAGTGTGAAGAAGCTCTACAGAGTTATTTCTTCTAGAATGGGTTACTGCAAAATAAAAGAGAATGAGCTGTGAATAAAGATGATTCCAGTTCAAGTGTACCATGGTGACTTTACTGAAGTCATTTATTTCATAAATCTAAAATGCAGATTTTACACTTCCATGGTAACACACTATTCAAAGCAACGAAATAATTAAAAGAAGTAATAAACATAATATAAGCAGTCATAAAATACAGTATCTCAATAAAGCCAGCAGACCATTAAACTAAAACCTAAAGTCAAGGGCATCAGCAAGGGGTATCTGGAGTTTCCTAGGAAAGCTGTTCCATTTATGAGTTGCCAAAATTGAAAAGGCATTCTTCAAGCAACCTTGGGCAAGAGTGGGGACCCCAGATTAAAGTCCTCTCTTGAGCCCTCAGTGTTAGACTTCTGGTGCTCACTGAAAGATTTAGGAAAGCTCAAATAATAGCAGTAACCGTGTCCAAGGCTATTTAGATCTTAGTATTTCATCTCCCTATTTTTCTCAGCTTCTACACCCTCCAAATTTGAAATATAGAAAATAAGATATCTTGCAAGGGTATTGTATATGAGTATCATGATAATGTACATGAAGTTCTTTACATACTCAAAGCAGTATTTAATGCTACGATCAAGCTTTCAGTGAAGAGCTACAATCTCAATCACTGTGCATCCTTTGCAGTTCACTATCAATTCTATAACAATTCATAATGATATGTAGTAATGGGAAAAGACAAAGGGAGCATTCATCATTGCCTGTTCGTTCACCAATAGCAGAATGGGAAGTTAGTGCTTCCTGAAGCAAGTGGAAACAAGCTGAAACACTCATTTCCAGAACAGGGCAGGTCAACAGAATTCACAGAAGGGAGTTGCACTCACCTATCCCATTCCAGAAATAAGCATTTTGACTTCTTCTCAGGGCTGTTTGAGGAAGTGCTAATGGTTGTCAGATGGATGTAACAAAATAAGTGGAAGAGAAGGAGCACAACACAGCCCAAGGTTCTAACTGTGTTACTATTCCAGAAGTGATGGGCACAAATCCACAAATACTACAATTCACCAAGCATTTTCAGTCTTGTTTCATGGCTTTATGGAGGCATGCATAATTGGGCTGGCTAGGGAAAGGGAATCTGGTTGGTAGGTAGATATAATATGACTGCTTCCATACGGAAGCAATGTGCTCATTTTGTGAAATTAGTTGAGGAACAGCAGCAGTGATAATTCAGCTGCTACATCAGCAAGCATGTCATCAGCACAGCAAAGCATCACATGGTTTTAAAGAGCTGTGAAATGTGTCAACTTTTCACACTGCTGAAAGAAAGTGGTATTTCAGTTGTGACACTGATAAACAACCATGCTATACAGCACAACTACAGCCTCCCATGCAACGATTTCATTTTTGTTCTTAAAGCAAGTTTTGAACATAGATCAAAGCAGCTATTTTTTCCACTGCATGTCTACACACAGAGATCAGCAACTACTTGATACACAGACACAAACTTGCACTTGAAGAAGTTTCCTTCTCTGAAGAACCTGTTTCCTACCCATTTAGCTATTTCTGTTGTAAAATACATCTAGCTTCACACTAGTATAAGTTGTATTATAGACAGGAAGAGGCAACTGAAAAATCCATGTCATGTGAACCACTGTGGCATGGTCTATTTATTTATTTCATATGGCACAGTGGAATACAGCATCATTGCACAAAAATTCACCAGTCAATAGATTATGTATGTAAAATGCAAAACAGTAAGACAACATAGTAACTTAAAAACATGCAATATGAATAATGGGTAAGATTGTAGATAAAATTAGATTATGTATGAGCAATTACTTGAGTGGCTAAACCTATGGCCAGATAGCAATGAACAGCAGTACTTTTGAGATGCTGTAATTCTTGGAGGGTACCAGGAAACCTTCTAAGGTGATTTGTCATGGCTAAATAGTCTACATATCCGGCTGGTGGATCTTACAAGGATCTCCAAGCAAGAGGAAGCAGCATGAATACTGAATGTGGTATGTTGATAAATGCTGGACTGGGAATGTGAGAAATCAAGGTTCTAGTCCACACTAGCTTATGAAGCTCATTGAATGACTTCAGGCCAGTCCTCCTCTCTCAGTCCAATCTACCTTACAGAATTGTTGTGAGGCTAAAATGGAGCTATGTCAGGTTCCTTGGGTTCCTCACAGGAGAGAAAAGGGTGGGATATAGTAATGTCCACTGGGTTATCAATGGTGAGAAAGCAATAAGGATTCAGGCTAGCCAAGAATCCCAAAAACATAGAACTACATTGGTTGCAGAACAGCCAGGGTTATGTTCATGGGCTAGTAAAGACTTTCAAGAGACAAGCTGCACACCAAGGTAATTAAAGAGCTGAAGAACTTTACAAGAAACACAACAGCCAAAAGTCCAACAAGTGCATTTCTATGCCAAATTAACCTAGTGTCAGGAACTGGGCTGCTCTGGAGGCCAGAACCAAATCAACTACCATTGTACGTGTAGGATCAGTCCCTAGATCTGCGGGCGCTCTTATTCAACTAATGAGCACCAGCTGGGAGTCCTGGGGAAAAGCTAATCAAGAACAAGCTCTTCCCTCCAGAACTGGCCTCAGCAGCACAGGCCTTCCTATAGTGTTTGCTCTGTCTCTTCGCTATGGCTCCATTTCTGGCCTTGCCATGTTGTCTCAGCAACACAGGTTCACCTGCTTTCTGCTGTGCCTGACTCTTGCCTGATTGTTCCTGTTCCTGCTATGTTTCTTGCCTTTCCATGTTGCCTTGCTGTTGTGTCTGCCTTTCACCTAACCTATAGGCTGCCTCACCTGTGCATCCTGTCTTGCCATGTTGCTTCAATAACATTGGGCTGTCTGTGAGCTGTGGTTCAGTTCCTGCATCTTGCCTTGCTGCATCTGGTCCCTATTGTTTCATGTATCCCACCATGTTATGTCTCCTGCTCTGTTAAAGGTACCTGCTCCTCTGTCTGACCTCTTGGTTCTTGACCCTTGCCTTGTTTCTGACCATGTATTTGTTCTGCCCCTCATGCATTCTTCTGGTCCCTGACCTTGGTCTGTACCAAGACTGATCTGGACTTTCCATTATGCCCTGCTTTCAGACTCTATCTTGCCTGAAGTTCTGTTGTTCTAGTGCCTCTGTTGTGCTTGTCTCTGGCTACCTACGGCTTGGTCCTGGACCCTGACACTAGCTTCAAAAGTGATGGAAGTGGAAAGGAACCAGGAAGGTGCTACCTGAGCCCTGCCCCCTTTCATTCAATTGGTAGTATGTGTACCCCTTGTACAAGGGGCTCTAGCCCAAACATCCCATTAGTGCTATAGCAAATGTGCAATCCATTCTCTCCAAGTCTGCCACATCTTGCACAAGGTGACTCAAGCAGGAAAGCAGAACTGTGAGGCTGCCTGGATGCCTCTCAAAGACAGAGTGCAGCAACTTCCAGGAAATACACCACATTTTATATCTTGAGTCTTAGAATGATCTAGGCTTCTGGCAAAGGCAAAGTCGGTGTTAGAGGCATCTATCTTGAATCACATGGGCACTGGGCAGCACCAGGGGCTAGGAAACCCTAGGAATTTCCATGTTACCTTCAAGACTACCCAAGGAGGTTCGGAGGAAACTTAGGGGTTGGGTAGTTACTGGGTTTTATCAATCAAAGGTTGTAGTAGCAGCAAATCCAGTGAATGCAAAGAAACATGAAATGTAATGGGGAAGAAGTAGCCCAGCATACCAATACTACATTGTCCCAGAAGTCTTCATACCGTTTCTCAAGAGGTACATTTCATACTTTATGAAGTTTCGTGTTTACTTGTCCTTATGCAAAATGAGGACTATATCTTGAACCTTCAGATAGCCTGGAAATGTAAAGTTTAATTCTTGCTGAAACATACATGCTGATCATATTTATTTACCTGGGATGCATGAATGAATGTGGCTGATTAATAGAATCTGATTCTTGTTTTATAACTGGATACCATTCCTGGAATTCTAGGTTATACTGAGAATCTGCCTAAAAGAAAGAAGAAAAATCAGCGTTTATGTTTTCTTATACACCATTCCACTGTTAGAGACATATTCTGAAGGCATTGTATTATTTTTTCTCTTTTTTACTAAATTCCATAGAGAAATAGAAAGCAACAAAACAGCAGAAAAGCAACATTATCTCAGTTACCCTTATGCCAGCTGCAGATGAAACAACAAACAATCATAACAATTTATTTACTGTGATAAATTACAGAAGTGCTAATACATGTAGTTTGTATCAGTTAGTCCAACCAGTAGGGCAAGACAGCACCATACCAGCATCTTCTCTGATAGTGTGGCAGTCTGTTCAGTTGCAATATATTTTAAGTATACTTTAAATAGCCACTAATCTTTATGGAGTGGAAAGAAGACAAATATCCCATCTTTACAATTTGCCAGTTCTGAACACCTTGTGCTAGTAGAGAAACAGAAAAGTAGCACTTGTTAGCACAACCTTTGAAACCACATGAAAGTAACACCTCTCCAATGGGACACATAATTGGAACTCCCTTCTACAACTGTACTAGTTTCCTTTTGTGCTAGCAGTTGTTTTCAATAGTGTAAGTATATAAGTCCGGGGTTGGTATTGCCCAGCAAATGGGTGCGTACTTGCATATTTGTGCATCAAAGCTTGAAGAGAAGGAAATGAAAGGGCAAGAACTCAAGTAAACAAATATGATGCCCATGTCAAAGGAAGAGGGGCATAACATCTTCCAAGCATTACAGAACAGGTCCAGTGGCTTTTAAATAAGCTGCAAGGCCTCTCTTTTTAGTCAGGCTTTTCACAACAGTAATTTTCTTGCAGTCTCCTAAAATTACTAACATGCTTTTTATTTTTACTAGTCTGCTAAGAGGCTAGTAGTCTGTATTTCTATGCTGCCTGAGCAGAGGAAGCTAGTAAGGAAACCAAGTGAACTGACACATTGCCCACACATTGTATTTCTGTACCAAACTTTCATAATGAAGGTATAGACAAGGAGCTAGGGAATTCCATGTGGTAAGATTACAAAGCATGGAATGTGGATGTTACATATGACAGCTTAACAGAACCTTGAGAATCTCAGCTGCTTTAAAATAGTTTCTGTTCTGACTACTGCAGAGAATGAACAAACAAGTTGAAGAGTTTTGCTAAAAGAAAACACCAACAATGTTTTGTTCCTCTGTAAAGGAACTCATTCTTTACCATGGGAAAAGCTATCATATATTTCTGCTTATCTGAGCAAATCCAAATAGAACAAAACAAATAAACAAAACCCTAAGACCAATTCTTTATGTGAAACAGTGTACCTTCATGTGTGATAACAGTAAATGTGTTTTCCACTGCCTATACCAAGGGCCAGGGTGGGGATTTCAGCAATAATCAATTCGTTCAGCACTACCATTAGCCCATGAACTTGCCTTCTCATGTATATGTCCTAATAAAATCTCATTTTTTGGGGAAAAATTGCTGTTGAGGATACCTGTTAGTTGCCACATGCCTTGGCTACACTCAGTAGCATTTATATGATGATATGAAGCACCCACTTCACTCACTATAAAATTAAGAAGCAATTTAGTTCCAAGAGCCAACTTTACAAAGAGCTTTCATGATGAAACTGAGAAGAAAGTCAGTAATAGAAAGAGTTGTAGAGATGCACATGTGTGCATCTAGTTCTGAAACTTTGGTAAAGAAATCCCCCTCCCCCCACAAAAAAAGCAAAATTGTTTCAGTCTGTCAAATTGCACCTAAGGATATATCCTTTTGACTTTTTAGGATTGCACAATCCATACATGTGCTGAAACATCAAAATACATTTGGTATATTACACATGACATCCCATGAAGTGAAAGACACATACATGCTCCAAAGAAATATGAACAACCTGGGTTCCACATAGATGCATGTCTTGATGTACATTTAATTATTCCCAGTACTGTGACATTGCTTTCCGAGACCAATGAATACAAGACATATGGCATGAGGTTATAAAAAATGGTATCTTCTCACATTTCCAGATAAAATAATTATGACCCTTCACTGTATTTTGCATGTTATATACCATTTCCTTTTCTACTCTCACAAAAACAAAAGAAGCTAAGATATGTAGGCAGCATGTCAGAGCTTAATAAAAATTCACCACACAAGCAGGCTTTTAGAATGATTGTTACACATTTCAACTGTGCCGATTCATGACTATATTTAAAGAAATAGTGTTCTAGTCCTCAATATCCCTCCCACCTGACCCATTTTTATACGTCACTGCTATCCCTATTCTTGCTTCTGCAGCAATTACATTATATTCATTGTCTTCTGTGTATGTGCTTGTGTATGTTTTTTCTGGTCAAAGCCAGAGTTGGGAGTGGTTCATACTAGCAAAAGGGCATTCCTTCACTACCTCCATTCCTGATTATATAGCCTAGTCAGGTTCTCTTCAAAATGTGAAGATCCCAAGAATATCTGTGCATGTTAACTATTTTTGATACTTTGTTTTTCACATCTCAGAAGTGTTAGAAGTACTGCTGAAGCAGCAGAGTGTTGCTGCAGTTTCCGTTAATGTGTGCATAATGGGGATGCTCCTATTCAAGTTCACAATTTTCCTATTCCTTTACAAACATTCTACTTCTTTCTATTTCTAGTTTCTCTTTGTTGTTGGGGAGGGGATGAAATTCTGTAGACAGAATAAAGGAGAGCATATGCAATTTTGGTATTCAAAATTCTAGGAAAGTTTGTGCTGGAGAATTAGCAGGCTGGCTACATCTTGATATCACTGTGTTTCATCATTCTTACCCAAACATACAGTCAGTCCTGAAAGAATGCTATTCTCTTGTATTTTAAAGACAGAAGGCAGCTTGTTCAAGTCTAGTGGTGGTCTTTGCAAAAAGAAGGTGGAATCATCCTCCATTCTGTCCTAGAGCCAATTGATTCTCTACAGAGACATCTTTCTTTCTCTTCTGTTTTTCATGGAAAAGCATAGTTGCCCAACCACAAACATGCTCACTAACAGCCCTCCACCTATCTTAACCAGGAAGGAAGAGAGGTAGGTCAATCAACCTGATCTTTTTGAGGAATCTGTGGTGAGTATACAATACATAAAGATAAGTCCCTTAGTTCTACAATTCTTGCATATTTTAACTCATCACCAATTACTATTCCATCCAAAAGATGAAGTTGAATGTAATCTTCTGAAATTGTAGTTTAACTCAGTATCCATGAGACTCATTAGGCATGAGGGAGTCAAGCCAAAACTTTTAAAATACCCAGTATACTGTACTAGCACATCAACAAAACCAGTCTTGTAATAGCGTCTGTCCTTATCTAAATTCTTATCTTTCAAATATTTATTTAAAACTTTTATATGCCGCCCTTTACAACAACGTCTCAAGGTAGCTTACAACATTAAAACCAATGATCAATAAAAGCAATCAATAAAACAATACAATAAAATAGTATACAGTATATCACAGAAGTGAGTACACCCCTCACATTTTGTAAATATTTTATTACATCTTTTCATGTGACAACCCTGAAGAAATGACATTTTGCTGCAATGTAAAGTAGTGAGTATATAGCTTGTATAACAGTGTAAATTTGCTGTCCCCTCAAAATAACTCAACCCACAGCCATTAATGTCTAAACCGCTGGCAACAAAAGTGAGTACACCCCTAAGTGAAACTATCCAAATTGGGCCCAAACTGTCAATATTTTGTGTGGCCACCACTGTTTTCCAGCACTGCCTTAACCCTTTTGGGCATGGAGTTCACCAGAGCTTCACAGGTTGCCACTGGAGTCCTCTTCCACTCCTCCATGACGACACCACGGAGCTGGTGGATGTTAAGAGACCTTGCGCTCCTCCACCTTCCGTTTCGGGATGCCCCACAGATGCTCGATAGGGTTTAGGTCTGGAGACATGCTTGGCCAGTCCATCACCTTTACCCTCAGCTTCTTTAGCAAGGCAGTGGTCGTCTTGGAGGTGTGTTTGGGGTTGTTATCGTGTTGGAATACTGCCCTGCAGCCCAGTCTCCGAAGGGAGGGGATCATGCTCTGCTTCAGTATATCACAGTACATGTTGGCATTCATGGTTCCCTCAATGAACTGTATCTCCCCAGTGCCGGCAGCACTCATGCAACCCCAGACCATGACACTCCCACCACCATGCTTGACTGTAGGCAAAACGCACTTGTCTTTGTACTCCTCACCTGGTTGTTGCCACACACGCTTGACACCATCTGAACCAAATAAGTTTATCTTGGTCTCATCAGACCACAGGACATGGTTCCACTAATCCATGTCCTTAGTCTGCTTGTCTTCAGCAAACTGTTTGTGGGCTTTCTTGTGCATCATCTTTAGAAGAGGCTTCCTTTTGGGACGACAGCCCTGCAGACCAATTTGATGCAGTGTATGGTATATGGTCTGAGCACCGACAGGCTGACCCACCACCCCTTCAACCTCTGCAGCAATGCTGGCAGCACTCATTTGTCTATTTCCCAAAGCCAACCTCTGGATATGATGCTGAGCATGTGCACTCAACTTCTTTGGTCGACCATGGCGAGGCCTGTTCTGAGTGGAACCTGTCCTGTTAAACCTCTGTATGGTCTTGGCCACCGTGCTACAGCTCTGTTTCAGGGTCTTGGCAATCTTCTTATAGCCTAGGTCATCTTTATGTACAGCAACAATTCTTTTTTTCAGATCCTCAGAGAGTTCTTTTGCCATGAGGTGCCATGTTGAACTTCCAGTGACCAGTATGAGAGAGTGAGAGCAATAACACCAAATTTCACACACCTGCTCCCCATTCACACCTGAGACCTTGTAACACTAATGAGTCACATGACACCGGGGAGGGAAAATGGCTAATAATGCCCAATTTGGACAGTTTCACTTAGGCGTGTACTCACTTTTGTTGCCAGCGGTTTAAACATTAATGGCTGTGGGTTGAGTTATTTTCAGGGGTCAGCAAATGTACACTATTATACAAGCTGTATATTCACTACTTTACATTGTAGCAAAGTGTCATTTCTTCAGGGTTGTCACATGAAAAGATATAATAAAATATTTACAAAATGTGAGGGGTGTACTCACTTCTGTGATATACTGTATAACCAATAAAATAAATCAAGGCAACTGTTAAACTACTAAAATACTAAGTTTTAAAATGACATTTAAATAAAAAGGTTATAACCTGGCGCTGAAAAGAATACAGACCCATCACCAGGCGAACCTGTCTGGGGAATGCATTCCACAATCTGGGCACGACTGCAGAGAAGGCCCTACTCCAAGTAGATGCCCTTTTTACCTCCTTCAAGGAGGGTATCTTATTAAAACTCACATTTTGAAGGTTATCATTATTTATACAGCAATATGTAAATGCATAACAATATTTTGATATGTAGTTCTTCATAAGCCATGATAATGAGGTCATTTATAAGGCTTAAGACACAGTATATCTATCATTTTCATTAAGGTAAGTCAAAATATTTTTTATGAGAACTTTACCTTAAGTGAACACAGTTACAGACCAGGGTACCTGAAAGTTTGCCTTCTCCCATATAAGACTGTGCAGTTCTTAAGAGATTCTGTGGAAACCCTTCTTTCAGAACTGCCACCACCAGAAGCACAGTTGGTAGTGACCCGAGAGTTCAATTTAATGGCCTCTCCCAGTCAATAGAAGTCCCTCCCAAGGAAGGCTTAGTTTGCTCAGTCTCTGCTGCCTTTCTACCCACTGACAAAGACCATTTTATTCAAAAGGCCTGTGGCCTGTAAATGGATCTGTCCATATGGGTGCTTTATTTATTGATTCTGCAATCGTTTTGACTGCCCTTTAGTGTATTGTTTTATTTATTTAAGCTTTTATAGCTCATTCATTATCACAGAGCTCTCAGAATTCAAAGCAGCTTACATCATTCTCATCCTACCCTCACTTATCCCCACAACAACAACCCTATGAGGTAGGTCAGAGTGCGAGTGACAGGCCCAAAGTCACCCAGTATTTTTATCACAGTTCATTGTGTCTGTAAATTGCTTTAAGTTACTTTTTTTGGTAGAAAAGCATGATAAAGTCAATCCATCAAATTTTTTTATTTATTGTATTTGTAAACTGCATCGTAGTCCATAGGGATTTCAGGGCAGTGTACAACATAAAAATAAATACAGTGATACCTCGGCTCACGAATGCCTTGGTTCATGAACAAATCGGGTCACGAACAAAAATTTCATTAAAATTTTGACTTGGGTCGCGAACTCCGCATTGGGTGGTGACTAAGATCGCAGCCATCTCTGCCCGCCCCCCCATCCCGAGTGGGGAGATGGCCATGGTTGCAGTTGCTTTCGTGCAGGGAAGGCATGCATGATCACAGGCGTGCTCCTGCAGGAAAGACAGGTGCAATCTCAGCCATTCCTCCCCCACAACCAGCATGATTGCGGCCATCTACCCACCCCTCTGAGTGGGGAGATGGCCGCGATCATGCTAGGGGCGGGCGGGGGGGGGAGATGTCCGAGATCACGCCCATCTCTCCCTCCCTCAGTGCACCTTGTTCGCGCCGTCTCTTCCTTCCCCAGTGCACCCGCTATTGTGCCCATCTCTCCCCCCCAACCCCAGCGTGCTGGGATGATGGGCATCTGCAGGGATGACAGGCGCATGCACGGATGACAGGCACGATCTCGGTTGTGCAGGGATGTCAGGCACAATCTCGGTTGTGCTGGGGGGGCAGGGAGATGGCCACATTTGTGCTCGGGGTGGTGGGGGGAGATGGCTGCGATCTTTGTTGCTGTCACTTTGCTTCACATTTTTCTGGTTTAAAAAGTGGTTACAGAACGGATTAACTTTATTTACACTGAACCTTATGGGGAAATTTAACTTGGCTCACAACCAATTTGGGTCACGACCAGAGTCCTGGAATGGATTATGTTCGTAAGCCAACTGGCTACAATCTTGGGTATATAGACTTAGTTAAGCTTTAAATGTATAGTTATAACAGCTATAACAAGTGCTGCTTCTTCCTGGACTGTTTAACTAGTGCTAAACAAGTAAGCTCCTAATCACTGATTTATGGTCTAGGACAAATTAAAATCTGTGTTACGACCAGGCAGCTGACAATCTATAATTCAGACAGTTTCTCTAGGCATGAACCCTCATAATGATAATGCTGAAATGGCATCACATATGCTCAAACTGCATTTTGGAATCTCTGTATCACACTTCTGGATGAGGTTTCCTGCCTTCAAGTGGGGTCACATTAACTACATGAACACATCAAAGTGCCTTATCCCAAATTAGACCGTTGAAACTTCTATCCAAGTACTTTCTACTCTGTCTGGCATCCACTTTCCAGGATTTTTCCAAGATTTCTGCTACCCAGAAATCTTTTAATGGAAGATACCACATATTGATCCTGCAATCTTCTTCATGCAAAACATGTGCTCTATCACTCCTCAAAATAGTCAGCTTTTGAAGTTACTGATATAACCACCAAGTCTAAGAAACTCGAAAACGTTGCTCCCCTTTGTCCATCCTCCCATATGTATTTGTTTCATTTTTCTTATCCTGTTGTTGCGTCTTGCTTACACTCAGTTTCTGAGAAGCTCCACATGGCAAGTAGCACTTACAATCTTGGCTATTACTGGAAAAAGGTATGGCTCTAAGTAAATATCTATACACTATCTATATATTCAATGCTATAGGCTGGCATTATGGAAATCCTCTTTAAGGTACACATTACAATTCTGTGTTCCTAAATTTCTCTGCAGTTGTAAAAGCTACAGATTGAAAAATGAAATCTGAAATTCTTAAGATTTTACGCATCCTTGGTTGCAGAATAAAACCATCAGTTGGTCCAGCCAATAGTTAACTTAAAAGAAACAAATAAAGCAAGCTTCTAAACACTTAAATGCCCCAGAACTGTACTAATATTTTCATAACAGCCTTTCCCCTGTTGAAGGATAACTAAGATGTCATTCATTGCAGAAATATCTAAAGTTATAGTAATAAAAACAAAAAACCTGAATGAAACCTGGTTATGTACGGGCATCTGGATCAGATCTAACCAAGTCTTCAGTAAATTCAAGAATCAGCATACTATGGATTAGATAGTATCCTAACTTCTACATATAGAGTCCTGCCCAAAAGCAAGGCTTTCTTTCCTACACTAGCTCCCTATGACCTCCAGAAAGTCACACCTGAGGACACATTCCAGAAAAGCAAATAAAACAGGATAGGGAACTGCAACAGAAAGGGGCAATGGGCAAAATTAAGCATGCATGAGCTTATGTGAACTTATTTTTTGGCCATGTAAGGGCACACTTAGATCCAAGCCAGACACCTTCTTACTCAAGTTTTAAAGAAAGCAAAGAGCAAAATATTTTAAAGTTGCAGATAAAAAAATCCTAGTATACATCCTAGTTTACAGTCACAGGACTCACAGTAAAAACACCCAATACAAAGCAGAAATAAATGATCAAAGATAGCAGGGTGGCATTAGCCTCAATTAAGTGTATACTGGCTTCCAATTATGCCGTAGAGAAATTTTTTGATGTAGCCATTTGTAAATTTGTAGTTTTTTGAGAAAGCGGAAAATAGTATGGAAAGAGAAAAAAACCCAAAGGTTGATTTAGAGAGAGTGTGTGTGTGGGGGGGGGGGGGGGGCGGCATTGAAGCCCCTTCCTCAAAAGCTATCTATCAGTGTTTCTAGAATTAGAAAAGTCAAGAACAAGAAGAGCTTCTGTGCTTTTAAAATTAATTGTGATACTAATCCAGGGTGGGAAAGACAACAATTACAGGTATTTAACTAAGACTTTGTCTCAGCAGAATCAGGATGTGTCAAAGGCATCCTGTTAAATCTTTCAGTGGGTCTCCTGGTTTTTTTTAGGTTATTTTCATACTTATTTCAAAACAAAGTGCAATGACATCTCTCTCTTGTTTCAACACATTTTTTTTTTTTAGCCATAACTGACTTGTGGAAGTGCCTCAAGACTTTTCAGTCAAGTATTCTATGTCAGAACCCTCTCCTCCTTCACTTTCACTCTTCTACAATTTCTGTTCCATGTTCTCTACAAAGCATACAGGGATGCATTATTGCCTCCACATGTGTCATGATTATATGTCAGTCAGAAGCAAGAAATAAGAATTCCAAGCCTGCTAGTTTATAACCTTGAGTTTTCAGCACCAAGGTGTCATTGGCTGTAATATGGTAACACTTCCTGCTAACATTTCAAATTTTTGAAAAAGGTATACATCTCCTTTTATGAAGAATACATCTAGAATAATTTAAATATAATCTTTAGCACTACTCGGATCCAAATATTTTACAAGCATACTTACTTTTGACTGTGTTATTTTCTGATTTTTCATGCTAAATTTTTCTTTCATGTCTTCCAAGAGATGCTTCAAATCTCTCTCTTCTGGTGTTCCTAGATATTTTTGGTTAATATGAAGGTAGCAGTGCCATTTAGCGGAATCAAAGCCCCAGTGACAGGTCCTCTTATCAGGAGATCGATGAGAATGCATCACAAATGTTTGGGGTGAAAACATCCCATAGCACTCTGCACACTGGATGCATGGAGAGTCTGGCTGAAGATAAAACTGTGGAACAAATAAACCTTGGCACTTGCCCAAACATTCATGCTCTACTTCAAAGATACTGCCAGTCTCTTTTAGTTGAGCCAGTGAACTTTTAGCATGAAGCAGGCTGCCATTTTGAGGAAAAGTGCGAGGACGCAACAAAGCATTGCATAGTCTCTGAGCATCTGTCAATGTGATCAGCCCACAAGACGGAGCAGTAAATGGTAGGATTCCCAAAACTTTTAAGATGTGAAGTTGATCAGAAGTGCACCTAGAGCAATAGATATAAAGCTCATCACATACTGTGTTAATTTGCTGTAGAGAAAAGTCACGGAGCACAGAATTCAAAACTTGAGGCAGGCAAAGTCTCTTTTCCCCACCAACTTTAAAACAAGATATGGATTCCCCTTCCAGTAAAGTCTGAGTCAGTTCTGTAGAGCTGTCTGAAGGAACAAGCAGTGGACCAGGAAGAATCTGGGGTGATGGGAGAGGTACAAAGACAGAAGATGTGCTTTCTTGAGAATGGCGAGCAGAAAATGCTGCTGGTCCACCCAGTGAACTCTGGCTGCTTAAGTGGAACTGTGCCAGTGTGTGTTTCAACCCAGGATTTAAGTTCAAAGACTCGGATGCTGCAGCAATATTTGGTTTGGCATCTTCCTCTCTGTCCTCCGTAAAGTTTTCTTCATATTCGTCCAAGTGCTCCTTCTTTATTGTTGACAACTTACTTACTACACTCTGTACTTCATCCTTTACGTGTATTTCTGTCATTGCCTTTTTTGCTGGAGGGCTGCCATCTCTTTGTGCTACTGTACCCTTTTGCTTGGACTGATGGCCTAGGGGAAAATTTGTCTGTGAAGCTTCCATAGCTAAATTTTAAATAGTTGAATCTGAAATTCGATCAAAATTAGCACTTTCAAATCACAATTTCTAGTTATTTCAGCTGCATAACCAGTATGGCTGCTTTCATTACAGTAAACATTTAACAAGATATCAAAATTGTTATTTTCAGCACTTCACATTTAGCATCATAGCTGCTGAAGATAAGGAATTACCTTGGGAATTCTGTTATTTAAAAACACTTCTTTCAAATTGATTAATATAAAATGAACAACTTAATGCACATACAAAAAAGGTTTTGTTCAATCCCTTAGATTTATGGACCTGAAAATGATCCAATAATTCATCCAACAGGAAACTGTAATTGAGAACAAAGTCTAGCTTTGCAGAATATTTCTGTTTTTAGAAACACGCAGATTCTTCATATTTTCTTTCAACTGAACATTAAAACATTGAAGTGCTGATGCTTCCATAGCCTGAGACATGTTAGTTTCAAAGTTACACTTCTAGAAGTTGAGGGATCAGAGCCTTATGCAATGGATTCCTGTTATGCCCAGTATCATAGACAAATTTCTTGATTTATTGTGCAATAATGTTTTCCAGCTCCAATGCTAGTTTACCAATAAAGCCCCAACTGGAAGATGGTCCCATTGTGCAGGCTGCAGCTATCTATATATGGGTGATCATTGTGAATACTAATGTTCCAATCACAAAATTTAATAATAAAAACAAGTTTCCAGCCATCAGCAAGATTAACTTCTTGGGTTACTAATTCATACATCTGTCCATCCTTTCACAGCATCTGAATGAAGGAGAAAAACAGACAAGTATATTACATTCAGAAGTATATAGAAATCAAACAGCTTTAAGTTAACTTCATGCAACCTTAATGAGGGATGCTGCCATGTCAAACCTAGTGATTAAAATATACAAGACACCTAACTGACAATTGCTTTGTTAGGACTAAAGTCTTTTAACCACTATCTTCATCACATGTTATCGCTCTGTCCCCCATGAAATCTACTTCATGTATTCATCTGTGCACATTCAGAAATGCAGACATATACACACTTGATCGTCTGATATTCTCTTGTCTTGTGTCAGTTGTTGGGGTAATAAGAAAAGACAGCCTTATTCAAAGAGAATATATTTCCTGGGTTTAGCTGAGCAGATTGCAAGCAAAGTAGGTTTTCTGCTCAGCTTCTCTTCCCTCCACCCCCAATATGCTGAATGGAATTATCATCACTTACCACCAGAAAACTATTCTGAAGGTGAGTGGAATGTGCATGAAAAGAGTGTTACTCCCTCCCCCACCAGGTGTTCTCTTCTTCCTTTGCATGTAAAGCCCCTGACTGCCACTATTTGATTTGAGTTTTTCTGATGTATATAAATGGCTTCACACTTCTTGTTTGCTTTTTTTCCCTAAAGCAATGCATTTATTGCATATCTCTGTAGTCTCTCCACCACAAGAAGTCCACTCCTGCCTTCTCCCTACTAGTTTTTTTGGCTACTAGCGAATCTGTACACAGAGAAGCCCATTGGAGAACAGGGTGAGAGGTGAGAAAAATGCCCAATTGTCCACAAACAAATTCTTGCATGAATGTCCTCTTGAAATTTACAGAGCAAAGAAAACATCAAATTTTCCTCTTGTATTTCACAAATTCAGGAGCTAGAACAGAGGAGAGATCCACAGAAATCAAAAGTTCACATTACCCTTTCAAAAGCAACATATTAAAGGACTTAGATTCCAGCTATATTGATTTTAAAATTGGAATAACTTCAGACTCTTATAATCAGTGCAAAACTCAACTTAAATGAACCTTCAATTATGGAAGGCTTTCCATACAAGCCATTGGGCAAGATTAAACACATACACACACACTGCTATTGCTTTATACAAAGCAAACCTAACATTATGTATATTGAAGTGCACTTTCATGTATAATATATTCACTCTGTTCTAGTTTTGTGCATGCATTCAGCATGTTAAAAAATCATCCCCAGCACTAGAACTTATTATTTTCAAAAACCAGCATACTTTTTTTTAAAGTTCCCATTTCCCAAAATCTAGGGAAATCTAGGTGCAAAAACAAGCACAAATATTAACGAAGTATTTGCATACGGCATATTCTCTTTCTTTTGCTATCTTCTAAAACACACATCACAATCATATTCCACATTTTTTCTCCAAACTAAGACCACATCTAAGTGGCTCACTTTCTGGAGTCCTGTTCTTTAAAATCACCACTCTCCATCAACCCTAGACATATGAAAAATAGTAAAAAGCACTATTTCCCTGAAAAATTGAGGTACCCACACAGCATCGTCTTTACTAATACCAGCTCTAATTCTTTTATGCAGTACTCTCAATGCCATGCAAAATATCTTACACAATTCTGTCTCAAGCATAACTTTACAATAATTACCTTTTCCATGTTCTAAAATCTCAAAGATATGCATTCCTCTAGAAAAAAACTACTTGTCTAAGGTTTCTCATGGTAGTAGGTATCTCTCACTTTCAGCCTGTTCTCTTTCAGCGGAGATTCTAAAACTGCTTTAGGGAAACCAGGAGTTCTGCAAAAACCTATAAAGGAATTGGATTAGACGATAGCAGACAAGCCTCCCTGAAAGCATACCTGCCACCACTACCATCTTCCTGATGCAGAGCAATGCCAAACATGATTTTTCTGGCATATTCCATGGTAAGTTCTTTTTAGTTTACCACAAACCAACATTAAGGTCCAACACACTGCATGACCCCTATGTGTACACCGCAGAATGTTTCTTCTGTACCATGCATTCCAGGCACAGATGAGTATGACTTATTCAACAGACAAGCTAATGGCTTCCTGAAAGCCACCTATGAAAGCCACTGTCTCATAGGCTTGCTTAAGCTAAGACGCACACACATCATCTTGCCCACAAACTCTAGTTTCCCTAAACCTCCCTCACTAGTACCTAACATTACCATAGTCAGTGTTTATGACCACGTACTGAGCTGTTCTCCCCACCAAAAGCTAGTCGATGCTGGTGGTTCCCTTGACCTCCTACTGCTGGGGAATCTCCTACTTCACCTTCTGGCTAACCCAGCGCTAGAACCCGATTCGTCCCGGAACCTTCCTCGTCTCGTGCGGAATTTCCCTTCTTTGCGCTGAATGAAACTCCTTTTCCTTCTCGTATCAGATGAACCTGCTGCTACAGTCACTCTTCCCCTCACAGGGCTGAGAAAGGTTAAATCAGGCTGAGAGGCAGGCAGGCAGGCAGACAGGCAGGCAGACAGGCGGGGGAGGTTAAGCCGGGTGGGGCGGAGAGTCTCTTCCGAAAGAGTCCCTCTACAGACACCCTCAGACCAACCCCTCGGTCTCTCTTCTTCCTCTCCCCCGCCCCGCGGTTGACGATAATGATCTCAAGAACAATCTACTGCTCATACATATTCATCTACTGCTCCAAAGGAAATCTTCTCCCTTCATGGACTATTTTTCATTCACACCACACAAGCGATCCCACCCCAAAATCCGCACGGAGTAACCATCACTTCCCCCTCCCCCTCCTTCCTCACGCCACCCCACCTCCGGCAGGCTTACTCCCCCTCCTCCACCCGGACCGGAGCCCTTCCTTCTCCCCTGGGCGCCCCCCTTACGGCACCCTCCCCCGTGCAACTGCTCTGGGCTAACCTACAGCTACTCCGCTCCCCTCCCCCCTTCCTGGGACGCTTCTCTTTCCCCCTCCCCCACGGATTACCTCAGTATAACTCACCCCGGCCCTACTTCTCTTCCTGAGAGACCCCCGTCCTCTTCCTCCTCCCCCTCCTCACCCCCATTTCTACGAGAAACGTCCTTTCCTTACCGCACATCACAGCCGAGCTCTCGGGCTGTCCCCAGCAGTGAAACAGAAGCCGCCGCCGCTGACGCACCGCCCACCCGTGACCTCACTGCGGAGACAGAGGAGGAGGAGGACGAGGACGTGATGGTGGAAAAACCACCCTGGCTGAGAAGGCGGCGGCGGCGGCGGCGGCGGCTACGACGGCGCGGCGGCGCGCGGGCACGAACCCGCCAGAAGCGCGCGCCCCGACAAGGCCCGCCCACTGTCTGGCCCGGCTGGCTCGGGCTGGGTGGGAACGAGAGGGGCCGGCGCGAGGCCGTCTCCCTCCCCCCTCCCGCGCGCGCGCGCACGCACGCACGCACGCACACACACACACACACACACACACAACACCGCGCGCGCTCGCTCCCTTCCCTTTCTCTTGGCTGGCAGAGCCAGACAGTCGCCGCCGCCGTCGCCCCCGCCGCCTCCCTCAGCAACCTCCGGGCCCGGCGCTCGCCCGCCCGCCCGCCCGCCCGCGCGAAAACGGCCTCCGCCCGGCCCCCTCTGCACCGCCTTGTCCCCCCAAATGCCCCCCCCCCGTTTCCCCCCCCCCCCCCGCTCAGCCTTCTGCCCTCGCCCGCGCCAGGCCATTCAGTGACGGAATGCATTGGTCGCCGGCCTCCTCCACGTTCCCGGCTCCTAACCTCGACTTGCCTACCCCGCAGCGCAGTTCATTTCCAGTTCCCCTCGGGGCCCTTCACACGTTACGCGGGAGGCAAGCCCGGTTCACCCAGAGTGGAGGTGCACTAAGGAGAGAGTGAACCACAGCGCCCTGGCGAGTATACCCGTCGGTACGACAGACGTATTGTCGCATTCGCGTTTTAGTTTCATGCATCTTCATACTACACGCGCGCGCACAATATCCAGACTTGTCCTTGAGAGGGTAGAGTTCAGCGGATGTTGGGTAAATTTAATTATTTTATTGCGTATCTTCTTAGTCCATTGACTAGTCTCAAGAAATTATCAAACCTAGCCACCCAAAACATTCTCTATTTGAGGCAAGCCACCCCCCCCCCCGCAAATTACATCACCACCTAACAACTAACCTGAGCACAAATCACCATGATTCATATCTTTACCTGATTGCATCAGGAGACCATCTTACGGTGGCTATCCCTCAACCTGGCTAGTCAAAATCTTTTTAACAGTTTCTGTTTACCTCTTAGCTCAGTTTAACCTTAAGTTGATGAAGAGGTGAAACTTTTTCTTGGGCACAGAGGATGGACAGGGAATGCTGGCAGCTGTAGGACTTTTTTTCTGTATATGATAGCACCTCAATTCAACTAAAAAAAATTGCCCTCCTCCTCAAGTCATTTAATTTCCTGCAGGCTGAGTTCCTTACTGAGTGTGTGCTAGAGAGAAGAGAGACTATATTAAGTCGTAGCTCATCCTTTCCTTGAAGAATAGTGCCTATATATTTATATATATTCTGCTGTACTAGAGAGGATTTTTCTATACACTATGTATGAACTGTGATCCAGGGCCCATTTGCTGTGAATCCACACTCTTTATTTCCAAGTGCAAAGTAAGCCACCCTGAGTTTATGATTAACATGATATATAAATATTCATGTTGCACTTTATATATGTTCAGCAGAAATATGAAATACTTGCGACATCAAGCTTATCTAAACTGGTGTTTGCTTTTTGATTTTTTTACTGGTTATATATTATTCTTTTGTCCTTTTTTATTGATTGTATTTATCAGTTTTAATGTTGTAAGCCATCCTGAGGTGTTATTGTAAAGGACAGCATATAAATGTTTTAAATAAAAAAATTTTTTTAGTATTTTTATTATCTAAATTTGGCGCTGGAGGAAATAAAGGTAAGAGAAAGATGAGCAAATTCAGACAAATATATTTACATTGAATATAGTTCCATTTTAAGTGAAGTAAGGGCTAATGAGTTAGGCCAGAATTATCATTTAAGATTTGAGATGTGAGAAAGAATTTGATGGGAGAGAGAAAAGGTGGGATACAAATACAAGAAATACATTTGTCATAAATTTTGATGAAGTGGTGGTGTTCCTTAAAAAGAAAAATACCAGTGCACACTGTTCTTGCAAGAGGGATTGCAAGATTATATAAAACTGTATTGCAACTTGAATTTCTGTGTTCAATTCAGATGATGCAACCCTGCAACTGAAGTCTAATTTTTTAATACATACAATCTTGAAAGGAATTTACATATCAAGTTAAAATATGCACTACTTTTACAGCTTAAATTTGTTGTAAGCAGCCTTGAGCACCCATGTGCAGGAAAGCACCCCATAAATACAGCTACGCACATATTTATTAAATACACCCTTGGTCTTACGGCTTTGAAACTTTTGCTTAACAAGCATTTATGCTAACATAGATCCTGACTTGCACTCATACTAATACATGGGCCATAAGATATGTGCATAAACAAATGCCAGAAGCAGAATTAATTTAAGAATGAATTAATCTGTAAATTCTTCAGCCAGCTACGTGATATGCACAAGTGTATTCAAACAATTTGGCATAAGGAAGTAGAGACAGGAAGCAGGTAATAGAGAGTCAAAGTACCTAGTTTAATGAAAGATGAAAACCCATCCAAACACAAATGGATTATTACATGATTACAAAGGGCCATAATCTTGGAAAAAACCAATTCCATGGAAAGGTCCTGGTTCAGCCTCTGACATCTCTAGATAGGATTCCAGTATGCAACCAGTAGACAATATTGAGCTAAATGGTATAATGTGCATTTTTAGCTAACACAAAAAATGCAGAAGGAAATTTGTGTCAAACAGTTGGGAACTTTGCCTAGACTTAGAGTCACATCATGTTTATGTGTTTTAACATTTATTTAATAAGAGACTTGCCCCAGGGATACATTTAGCAAACTTGTTATCTGGGTTTACACATTCTGGCAACATGTATGACATAGACAGTGAGAGTAAATGGCTTATCATGGTCATAAATTTACTAAGAAAAGGAGAAATATTCTGAAGAGCAGTAGAATTTAATCTCTAAAGCAGCCTTCCCCAACATTGTGCCTTCCAGATACATTTGGACTGCAACACCCAGAATTCCCAGTCAGTGGCCCTCCTGGATGAGAATTGTAGGAGTTGTGTTCCAAATGCTTCTGAAGGCCACCAGGTTGGAGAAGGCTGGTCTAAAGGAATGGGGATGATGAAAGAGAGAACTTTGGGGTCACTCTAGCTCTGACAAGTCACCCTGTCCATGTACCACCCAACTGGCCAATGCCTTGCAAGTGATTTCCTAACAAAAGAGTAGGTGAAAGGTGGTTGTAAGTCATAGATTAGTGTAGGCAATAAGGGAGACACTGTTTTAATATGTTAAGGCTCCTTCATCACATTTTTAAGTTTGCCTGAATACTAAATTCAAAATTATTCTTGGTCATGGAATTTTCCTGTTCATGGAATCAAATAACGGTTTCATAATGTTCTCAAGCAGCTGTTAGTGGTTACTCATTTTTCATTGCTGTCCTGGTGGGTTAATTAGATTTCCAGATAATGCAGGATTCACATATCTTTTGTATGTGGTGGATAATGAGATGCTCAATGGGGATTCTGAATTAATTCATGAAACAGTGTGATAAAATTCAGTATACATCTTAGCAGTTTGAGAAACAGGTTTGGTGTATATGCTAACCAACTTGACAGGAAATTTATTTTTAAGTTTTCATACAACATTAGTCTACACCTCTCTTATAACATGAAGTAATTTGAAATAGCAATTTTCACTTGTGCATTAAAAATGCAGATCAGTTGTCTCACTTCTTTCATGTGTGGGTGAGACATCACCTATCAGAAACTACATTAAAAGATGTGAAAGGTGAGCTATAAAGAGATCTTCAAATTACTTTGCCTTTTTTTTTACTATATACCATACAGAAAATTCTTTAAAATAAAGTTCCTTGCCAGAAATCTGTTGGGCATAATGAAAGATGTGCATTTAAATTACTGGCTATATACCTTGTGCAGCTTTCATGGCCACGTGTCCATCAAATTTTCCTCTGTCAGCTTCCAGTGTTGGATGTTGTAAACTATGAGTATAAGCATGAATCCTTAGGCTATTGGGCTTGATTGCTGTCATTTAGTAAAGCACATACATTTTTCTTGAGTCTGGCTGTAGTTACTGCTGGTTCAAGTAATTTATAACAATATTGAAATAGGTAATAATAATAATAGTAAATAAGTATATAGATGGAGTCACTGAAGCAGTCATTGTGAGCTTAAGTGGACCCCAGGGGATGGTGGAGGACAGGAAGGCCTGGAGGAATGTTGTCCATGGGGTCGTGATGGGTTGGACGCGACTTTGCAACTAACATCATCATATTGGTGCAAGCAACGTTCCAATAACACATTGATGCTTACATGTGCATTTTATATATGGTAGTTAATCTTTTATGTTGCTGAACACAGTGTCACAGCAAGTCAGAATGGCTGACATATGAGATCCTTAATATTCATTTAGTATTAGAGGGGAGGTTACTATATTGATCTATAATTAGCAGTAGAGCTACCAAGAAACAACATCACTTATCTGGGGTTAAAGGAAACGGCTATTGAGGAGCCCCAGTGACAAAGCATTTCAGACCCAGGGACAAAGCACTAACACATAAGCA